ATATTACGCCATATTGGTAGTTTATCCCGTCAAAATTATTATTAATACCCATATATTTTTTATTGGTTGCATTAGTTTTCTAAAAAAAAAGAAAGAAAAAATGTAAAAAAATCAGAAACATTCGGCATTGAAACGAAAGTGAGTGTTTGTGTGGTTAACCAAATTGAAGGCCAGAGAACAAAATAAGAAAAGTACAGATCAAAGTGAAGATCATTCACTGTTAAAAGTTCATATGATAAGTGTTTTGTTTGAGAAGAGAGAACAGATCCAACGACTGTTAAATTGGTTAATTTGCGGGAGTTTGCTGTTGTAAATATCAACCAACCCATTCTGGAAGGCCTTTCAACGTGGGAGCTCCGACATATTCAAAGTAAGTTAACTCTCTTTAACTTCCATCAAACCACCATCAACCAACCAATCGATCTATTGTACAGAGAGTAAGCGGGTGAACCGTTATTGCTCTCACGTTCCACAAAATATTTGCATTGATATTTTTAAATTTGCAAATATTTTGCTGATATTATAAAATGATCATAAAACTTTTTAAATGGCTTTAAAATTACTTGTTTTGCAATTAAAATATTTCTAAAGGATACGGATGTTGATGGTTGTTTGAATTTTACTCGCTATGCAAAAAAATGTACAAGTGTTGGATGTGTTAATGTTAAGTATTGGGTTAACAGGCAGCTCGCTGTTGCGAACAATTGGCGCTGTTAACTATGTTGTTGAGAGAACATAGTTTGAAAAGCACTGCTTTAATGTATTCTTTGCTAATGATTTTCTTTCTTATTTTAAATTAATTTTATTTTGTTTTGCTTTCAATAACAAATCCAACATTGTATATTTATTGAAACCCATTTGCTTTAAATATGAATTTATTTTTGGGGAATGATCTTTAAATAATTTAACTTGAAATGAAAATATAAAAAAATCTCCGATTGCAATAATTTGTGCTTGTGTTGATGATGGCTGTAAAAGGTCAATGTACTTAACAGCTGTTCACATGAAGGAAACAGAAACACACAAACATATACAGAACTGAATAAAGATTCTTTTTTTTTCAATTTAACATCTAACGTTCAAGCCCGAATTTTGTTTCTGAATTTTGAAATTCTACTTTTTTTTGAAAAATTTAAAAATTTTAACTTATGTTTTTCAATAATATAATTTTATAGATATACATTTAGTATAATTTGATACGTAATTATTTAGCTATTTTTAGTTTTTTTTTCTGATTTTTTTGTGGAAATTATTAGTAATTGGTCAAGTATTTGATATCGGTGATAAATATGATAGTTTCAAAAATATTGAATTTTAAAATCTTTATAAATTTAGGATTTTCAATATTTATCCGAATTGTTTCTTTTTGAGTAGTTATAATGAGTTTTATTTTCAATAAATTTTTGGTATTGTTAACCATGTGCTAAACGAATGTTCTATGTTTAATTTGAAACAGGGGTCAGAAAAGTAACATAGGGTAAACAAATATGGGTTTGCCATATGTGTTAAACAATTTATTTTTGTTTTTTGGATTTTCATGGCAAACAGGATGGGAGGGCTAACCATGCATCTACAGCTAAGCATGGCATTATCAAATTATGAAGGAAATAGACTCCTCTTTTCGATATTTTGCTTTGGACTATAGATATCCTTCTTCATATATCTCTTTCCTTCTTGTACTTCTTTCTATCATTTATGCACGCATTATAATTAAGTAGACTGGTAGTTGGCATAATTTCTTGATGAATTTAGGCAAGATCCCACCCCAACGACGATCAATAAGGCTGGTGAACTATGCGTGCCAGGCCATATGATTCATCTGAAAATATCTACAGGAAAATTGTAATCGATTTAACCCATGCATGCTACAAACCGTCACACGCTGCCAGAATGTTGCTTTGCGGTATTTTGGCCCATTCCCGGCGAAGCGCTTGCTTGAGGTGATCGACACTTTGGTATTTTTTTTGTGCCAACCTTGTTTTCCAAAAAAACCTCCAGACACAATAGTCCAACGGATTGGTATCCGGAGATTTTGGTGGTCATTGTGCACTGGAAATGAAGAAACCTCATTTTGTATCCATTCTTGGGTGGCGCATACGGAGTGTGATGGTGCTGAGTCCTGTTGAAATGTCCAAGGTCTGCGGCCAAAATGTTTAGGTGCTCAAGGCTTTAATACACCCTTCAGAATAATTACCAAATGGAATATTGCGATATGTTCAGCTCACGAGCCATTTTTCGGCCACTGCGACGCGGGTTTCGATCAAGTCGCTTCTTTACTTTTCCAATCATTCCTGCTGATGTTTTCTTCCGTCCACTTCCTTCACTAGTATCACGGTAACGAGCGATGGTACGAGACACAAAAGATTTATTCACATTAAAATGCTGGAGTGCTTTAACGATAGCCACCTGTGGTTTTCCAGCCAAATATAAAAAATCACACTATCACGCTTGAATTCCATCACGAATAACTTTTTATACCCTCAGCCATATGGCTACAGAGGGTATATACAATTTGATACGTTTAAACGTGCCTAGTCGAAATAACGGTTTTAGACCCTAGGTCACTTTGGGCCAAATCCGTTTACAGAACATTTGGGGTCGATCTTGTGATGTCCATCCGTCTGTCTGTCTGACTGGTGCGCACGATAACTCTCGAAGGGAGTATCCGATTTGGTCCAAACTGGGTACATCGTAATATTTTTGTCAAATTTAGATCGATTTCGGAGATGGGCATTATCGGTCCACTCCTTCTGGTACCTCCCCCACAAAAGGTCGAAATGTTCAAAAAATATAGTTTTTACACAGAAAGAGAAAGGATAATCCGATTTTGCTCCAACTTTACATATCCTAATATTTGCGTCAGTGCTAGGTCTGGTGTGAAAATGGACAATATCGGTCCACTCCATCAAGTACCTCCCCCACAAATGGTCAAAATTTTGAATAATTACAACTCTCATAAAATGTGATATAAGAGTCCGATAGTCTTCAAATTTCACAAAGTCTGGTGTGAAAATGAAATGTATCGGTCCACTCCTTCTGGTACCTCCCCCACAATAGGTCGAAATTTAAAAAAAAAAAAAAATTTGCACAAAAAGAGAAACGATAATCCGATTTTGCTCCAACTTTGCATATCCTAATATTTGCGTCAGTTCTAGGTCAGGTGTGAAAATGGACAATATCGGCCCACTCCATCAAGTACCTCCCCCACAAATGGTCAAAATTTTGAATAATTACAACTCTCATAAAATGTAATGTAAGAATCCGAACGTCTTCAAATTTCACACATTTCAATATTTTTATAAACCCAAGATCTGGTGATAACATGGAATGTATCGGTCCACTCCTTCTGGTACCTCCCCCACAAAGTGTCAAAATTTTGAATACCCACAAAGCACATAAAACGCCAAATTAATATCCGATTCCATTTAAACTCTCGATATTTCTATCAACACAAGATCTGTTATAAAGGTGGTATAGATCGAATCGAAGATCGAAGATTTTGAAAAACAAAACGCTCAAATAAAGCGAAATAAACATCCAACTCTCTTCAAATTTCAAATATTTTTGCTAACACAAGATCTGTTGTGAAGTTGATATATATCTGCCAACCCCTTCTGGGGTCACAATTTTCAATAATTTTATCTGTCATAACTTTCGAAACAATTTAGCAATTCTTTACTACTTGCTATGCTCAAACATTTCTCCCAATAAGAAGCCTGATATGAATATGAAATTTATCGGAATTTACGATTTCGCATAAAATTGTACATAAATATCCTTTCTTGTAATGTTGCCCAATATTTCGCTCAATATTTTTTATTTGTATCAGATGAAGAATAAAAGTGGAATATTTCGGTAGATTCTATCTTGTACATCACGCACATTTTAACATTTTCTAAAAAATATTACATATCTTATGTAGGTGAAGGAGTTAGTCGATATAATCCATACCAGGAACGTCGGAATATTTATATCATATTTTTGGGTCCGATACTAAATAGACAATATTGGTCCATTATTTCGGAACCTGCTCCATAGAGGGTCAAACGTTTGAATAATTGTAACACTAGTCAAATTATATTAAAATAATCGAACACAGGCTGAGGGTATATATCTGTCGGCAATACCGACTGATACTTTTTAACTTGTTTACTTGTTTTTCTGGAAAATTCTCACCAACATGCCTATCGTACGCTTGTAAACAATATAACGAGCTGTCACTGGAATAATTTTAACAGCTGTTGGACGAGTGGTTTGGAAATGACAGCAGTCTGAAGTTGGTTGCAGTTTTTTCATCTCACCCTGTATATCTTTATCCGATTTCAAGTTAATCGTGCAACAAATGGGCTATACAAGCCCGAATTGAAAAGGCACAAATGTCTCGGCAAATTTTGTAGAAAGCGATTCAGAGGAGGATATTCCTCTCATATATTATTTTCTTTGGAGTTTTGCCTTGTTAAGGCGAAGATCATATGTTTTATGATTTATGTGTTTGTTTTCTCTTTCGAGACGAGCTTAATGATCTAAAATTTGCAGTGAAAAGGAAAGCCAGATAGACACTATCACACACTCACCACTATGCGACGCGTTTCGCCGTTGGTTAAGCGGCTCATCAGGCATATTTGCCGCTTAACCTGATGAGCCGCTTAACCAACGGCGAAACGAGTCGCATAGTGGTGAGTGTGTGATAGTGTCTATCTGGCTTTCCTTTTCACTGCAAATTTCAGATCATTAAGCTCGTCTCGAAAGAGAAAACAAACACATAAATCATTTTCTTTGGACTTTATAACTTTAATCACAGTTCGTATGATGTACTTCTCACAAATTCCCCATAGAAACTTTTATTTGTTATGTGAAGCTCTACAAAATATGCAAAGTGGTGATGGGTATCATAAAGTCGGCCCCGCCCGACTTAGACTTTCTTTACTGGTTTTGTGATATGGATGGTATGTACATAGTTACGAGAGCAAACAACATTCTTTAAATGCCGGTTGAAACACGACACAAAAAACAAATTCGACAAGCGATTAAACGAAAGACTTGCATCTAGTTCCGATATTTCCATTCGTAAATACATTCCTTTGAACTAGTTCGTTACCGGCACATAAACAAACAAAATGCGACTGGTAAGACCGAAATCTTCGAGATCTTGTTAATGCTCATAATTTTATAAATTTCAATAAAATCGTGTGGGTATTGATTGTAGTATTGCCTCAGCAATGACCTGGCCAAACCCTGCTATGTCATTACTTTTAAAGGATTGCGGATAATGTTGGATTGTGGACTGACCGAACAAACGGTGTTGAACTTCCTTCCCCTACCGTTTGTTCAAAGTGTGAAACTCTCAAATTTGCCCAACTTCATTCCAAGTCGAGAACACGACCCCCAAATGGATGGCGAGTTAAAGGAATGCTGTGGCCGTGTGTTTGTGGACTCGTCTCCGGAGTTCACTCTGCCCATGGATAAGATGATGGACTTCAGTGAGATTGACGTTATACTGATATCCAACTATTTGAACATGTTAGCCCTGCCATACATCACCGAGAACACAGGATTCAAGGGCAAGGTATATGCCACCGAGCCCACATTACAAATAGGCAGATTCTTCTTAGAGGAGCTAGTAGAATATATAGAGGTTGCTCCAAAAGCTAGCACAGCCCAATTGTGGAAGGATATGTTACACATTTTACCTACACCGCTGTGCGAAGCTTTTCGGCCGAAGAAGTGGCGGACAATTTTCAGCTTGAAAGACGTACACAATAGCCTTTCAAGGGTCACCATTATGGGATACGATGAGAAATTGGACATACTTGGCGCTTTTATTGCAACACCTGTAAGTTCGGGATACTGTTTGGGTTCCAGCAATTGGGTACTTAGTACGGCACATGAGAAAATTTGTTATGTCAGCGGTTCTTCAACGCTGACAACTCATCCACGACCAATAAATCAGTCCGCACTTAAACATGCCGATGTTCTAATAATGACAGGCCTCACTCAGGCGCCCACTGTAAACCCAGATACAAAACTGGGTGAACTTTGTATGAATGTGGGTAAGTACAGTAGCCTATCACAAATCGTTCTCCATGACTAAACTGAAGTTGCTTTAAGCATTAACGATTCGCAACAATGGCTCGGCCCTAATACCCTGCTACCCGTCTGGTGTTGTGTACGATTTATTTGAATGTTTGACGCAGAATTTGGAAAACGCTGGACTTAATAATGTTCCGATGTTCTTTATTTCCCCTGTGGCGGATAGTTCCCTGGCATATTCCAATATCTTAGCCGAATGGCTGAGTTCTGCCAAACAAAATAAAGTGTATCTTCCAGATGATCCATTTCCACATGCCTTTTATTTGCGCAATTCAAAACTCAAACATTACAAACATGTCTTTTCCGACGGATTTAGCAAAGATTTTCGACAGGTAATTACTCCACCAATACCCATTGATTTTCTTACCATCTGGGAAGGGGGGAATTTTTAAAATTACTTCAAGATATATTCCCTTTTGCATGCAATTCTTTATATTTTTCCCTACAGCCCTGTGTCGTGTTTTGTGGACATCCAAGTCTTCGGTTTGGCGATGCTGTCCACTTCATAGAGATGTGGGGTAATAATCCAAATAACTCAATCATATTCACTGGTAAGATTATGCCTCCCATCAAGCAGAAACAAAATGTATTAAAATTATTATTATTTTGCAGAGCCTGATTTCCCCTATTTGCAAGTTTTAGCACCGTTTCAGCCATTGGCTATGAAAGCCTTTTATTGTCCCATAGACACATCGCTTAACTATCAACAGGCAAACAAATTAATCAAGGAATTAAAGCCCAGTGTTTTGGTCATACCCGAAGCCTATACAAAACCACATCCAAGTGCACCTAATTTGTTTATCGAACAACCCGTGAGAAAGCATTTTACTTTGCTAACTATTAGCTGTTATTATTATTGTTGCTTTTTCTTATCAGGACAAGAAAATTATAACTTTTAAATGTGGTGATATTCTTCGATTGCCGCTGAAGAGAAAACTTGATCGAGTGTATCTCACCTCTGAAATGGCTCAGAAAATTGTCCCCAGAGATGTAGGTAACGGTGTTACAATTTCAACGATCACTGGAATACTTCAGGTTAAGGATAAAGTACATAACATAAAGCCATGCGCAGATACTGTCAGTGAAATGCCCAGTGGTAGTAAAAAACAGCCACCTCCCACCAGAGAAGATGTGTTGAAAAATGTTAAATATGAATATGGAAGCCCAGATGTGGACTCGCTTGTAAAGCGTCTCAGCCAAGATGGTATTACCAATATAAAAATGGAACGTCAGGGCAATGTTCTGACGCTACACTTGGTAAATGAGGATACTATTATAAAATTCGAAGACAACGAAACGCATATCGTGTGCGGGGGCAAACAATCTTTACGCTTAAAGCTAAGGGATTCGTTGTTAAAATGTCTTCAGTCGTTTTAGATAGAAAACGGCAAAACATATTAATAAACATGTTTAATTATAGTACAGGACTTTATTTTTGGTTTTTCAAAACTTTACTACATCGTTGGCAAATATCATTTTCCGACGGCACAGCAAAACGTCGACAACGAGGACATAGAAATGATTCATCTATTTCTCGAATTTCAACATCAAAATCCTTTTGTAAATCATCCGACATAAGCAATTTCACGGACTGTACTTGAAGAACTTCGCACAGCTCGTTATCCGAGTCATCCGGATTAATAACATCGGGATATAGGCTTTGCATGCGCTTAAATATACTGTCATTGCCACATTTAACAGTTACCGTTAAAAACCAAGAAGGCTTAGACGGATCAGCATTTTGATTTATTAGTCGTTTGATTTCGAGTGCTGTGTCCACAACCTCTTCCACAGAAGAATTCTTCCATTTATCCTCACACGAAATCGATTGTTCATAAAAATGAGAATTTGCATCTAAAATTAAGAAAAAATTAATTTCTATTCACAGCGAACTTAATTTTTATTATTCTGCTCACCATAATAACTCCAACTCTCTTCAACTAAAAATGAGGCTATGGGCCACAAGGTCTTGTTTAAGATCAAGTAACATTTCTCCAAAGTAAAGGCAACAGCTTCTATATCTTGTTGGGATCCACAATATAAACGGTCTTTAATTAAGTGTACATACACAGCAGATATTTGATTGGACACAAAATTTTGAATATGTGCAACGGCTCTGTTATATTCATGTGAATCGTATAAGTTAATTGCCTGCAAAGTCTCAAAATAAATCCACTTTTATCAGCTGATAATTATTTGTACTCACCTCTTTATCGAAATCTACTATTTTACTCAATAAGTATTGGTTCAAGTACTTAAGTCCTTTAACGTCTCCAATAGTTTTATTTTGATCTCCTCTGGAATTTATCACACCATTCAGGTAACGCAATGTCAAGCGGATTTTAGATAAACTTTCGGCAGCCTGCTGTAACAGTTTATCACTTACTGTTATGGCCATGTGCTGGGTACCATGGGACGCTACCCACCACCTGCGAACAGAAGACATAGGTTAAAGATGTGCTAAAAAAACGCATAAGATGTTATACCTTAATGCGTCAATCCCATACTTTTTTGTTATATCTTTGGGTGAAATAACATTGCCTAAAGACTTGGACATTTTAAGACCTTTTTCATCAACGGTAAAGCCATGTACGAATATAGATCTTACATAAGGAAACTTTAATACAACATATTAATATCACATAATACAAACATCCACATACTTGTACGGAGCACATTCTCGAGCGGCGACGCTAGTCAGCAATGACGATTGGAACCAGCCCGTAAATTGGTCATAGCCTTCTAGATATAAGTCTGCAACTTGCTGATCCTTCAATACCTGGGACCAGGTACTGCCCGAATCGAACCATATATCAAAAATATCTAAGCCTTTAACGACATCCTTGATGCTAACATTGAAACCGTTGAGCAAAGATTTAGGTAATAGTTCTTCAACAGTTTTGGACCACCAAAAATCAATATTGGTTTCATTCGACACCATCTTACAAATGTGTTCCAATATATCTCTAGAAAAATTAGGACAATTATTTGCATTTAAATTTGCTGACATATATATTGTTTTACCTGTTGCATATCACATTTCCGGTATTTTTGTCATAAAAAACTGGTATGGGAACGCCCCACGCTCGTTGTCGTGATATACACCAGTAGGGGCGTTTCATAACTTGTTTTGTTAATGTTGTTTTACTGGACTCAGCATTAACTCGTGGGTATATTTTCACATTTGCTATCTGAACGAAATTGGGGTAGGTTTGCAAAATGTTATTTTCAAAGACATTTTCAAAAATAAATTGAGATATCATAAATAAACGCCAATAACAGTGTACCCTATTTTAATAGAAAAACTGTCCGAGTTCGCCAAACTGAATGTTTAAATTTACAGTTTTTTGTTTTAAATATGTGATCTTTGAAAAATTAAATAAAATTTTGCTATCACTTATATTTACCTCCTGAGCTGCTTTCTCCTTAAGAAGCGATGTGTTTATAAACCATTGTTCGCTGGCCCTTAATATGACCGGTTCTTTGGTTCGCCAATCCAGAGGATAACTATGTGTTATTTTATTCGCATATACAATTTCTTCCTCTAAATGATTCATAACAAGGTCGTTTCCTTCTTTCAGCACACTTTTGCCTTCTAAAAAGCTTGGAGCATTCTTATTATAGCGCCCCTCCTCGTCAACCAAGGATTTCTATAAAAAGCTTGAAGTACTTTATATTGTATTGGTTGTCTTAAATTCACTTACGACAGCAACTTTTTTATCCAAGCATATTAAGAAATCATCCGGACCATGTGCTGGGGCTGTGTGCACCAATCCCGTACCTTTAGAATCCTGGACATGGTTCGCATGGAAAAATGGGAATGCTTTTTCGGGATAGAGTGGATGTCTATAGGAACAATCAGTTAAATCAATGCCTAGTAAAGTTAACGCTTCATTTATTCATGTTTCTACAGCACTTAATCATTCTTGACTTACCGTCAAAACTTCCTTTTATTTCGCATTCAATTTTCGAGGTTCTCACAAAATCCTCCACCAAATTTGACGCTATTATGTAGAGATCCTTTTTCGATTTCGTTTCCACCAAAGAGTATTTCAAATTGGAATTAAAACAAATTGCCTGATTGCTAGGCAAAGTCCATGGTGTTGTCGTCCAAATCAGCGCAAACAACTTTTGAGATGTGTCCAACTGTACAGTTGGCGGTAATTTATCCAATGAGAAGCGCACATATACCGACGGACTGGTAAAGTTATTGTCGTATTCTAACTCTGCCTCAGCTAGTGCTGTTCTAATAATAATCGAAATAATTAAATGCAACACTGACAACACTTCCTCGAAGAACAGAACCTACTTAGAAGACGGTGACCAATACACAGGCTTCAAATCACGATATACTAATCCATTTTCATATAGTTTAAGGAATAATTGCAGCTGGTTGCATATGAAATCTGGATTAAACGTATAATACGAGCCATCACTCTCTTGCCAATTTGACAATACGCCCCAAGAACGAAACTCTTCTTTTTGACGTCTGATCGCATCAGTGGCAAATTCGCGTGCTAACCGAAGATATAGAGTTTGAAAATAAAATGTCGATAACGTTCAAAGTAACACGGCCTTACACTTCTTCCTCACTACAATAGGATCATCTGTTCCCGTCTTTTTGCCGGTCGATGCTAATGCCTTTAGTTCAATCGGCAATCCATGGCAATCCCAACCAGGCTTATAATGTACCTTGCGTCCCTTCATCATTTGGTGTCTTATCGTTATATCCTTCAAGATCTGCAATAATTCAGTCATTACTATAACCAACTAAGATCTATCAATATTTCAATCGCAATCAGAACCTTGTTGACGGCATGTCCCATATGTAAATCACCATTGGCATATGGCGGACCGTCATGTAGTATATATTGCGGTTCCCGGTTATGTTCGTATTGGTAATTATATGCGTTAGCGAATGTAGTCTGCAAAATGAAAAAAACATGCAAATTTAATTCAACAATTCTTAGAATCGTAATCACATATGAATACCTCAACTAGAGTACGTTCTAGCTCGGTCCTTTTGTTTGGCGATAAACGTGACGGAAAGCGGGTTTTCGGCAAATTGATTGTGTTTGTGTACTTGACTGTATCTTTTGTTGCATGTTTAATTGAATAGAGTCGTGTAGTTGGATTACAAAGTATTCTTAACATTATGTTCTGTTATATTTTTTATATTATTAAATTGAGCTTTCTTTATGTAATCGAGCCAGCAAGTTGTTTGTTGCAGACAGTTCGAATGCGAAGAAACCTAGAAAGACGAAACGAATATGAAAGCCAAGAGGAATACCCGATAAAAAAAACAAACAGAAAGCAAAATCCCGCGGTAGTATGTTGTTTACGAATGAGACATGTGGAATACGCAATCAGACTGAACACATTCTTTAAATGAGCTGCGGGACTAGCTTATCATAACGTGATTTGATTTTGTGAGTTGTGTCGTTCCGGAACGAACTAGTTCAATGTTACTGCGAAATCAACAACACGAAATCCAATCAAATGTAAAATGAGTCAATTATAGAGCATGAAATTATTTCCGATGTCATATTAACGAGTGGTCTGTTTCAGAACTACAAGAGAGTAAAAGTGTTTACTACGATAACCGGTTTTTCCTAATATCGAAAAAAATACAAGATTAGTTGTACAATCTCTCTCTGTTCCAGAAACTGCAAGAATATACTAATTTTTCTATTTTTTCGATATCATAAAGGGAAAATTGGCTATTGTAGTAAAAAGTTTTACATTCTTGTAGTTCTGGACAGACCAAAAGTTCTATCGTTTGTGGCCGAAGCATACAACTTGGCTGCTCTCCAAGTTGTACCAACAACTCATGGTAGTCGCATCGACACAGCTGCTGGTACAATGAACTGTCAAATCAATTTTGAAATTAAAAATTTTGAATGAAAAATTAATGTTAGAAGAATACAGGCATTAGCATCGACACAGCTGCTGAAACAATGAGCTGTCAAACCAAATTTGAAATTAAAATTTTTGAATGGAAAATTATTCAAATTTGCAAAAATTTAAAAAAAAAATGCATATCATAACAACCCCTGATTCACGTCGGATAGGAAAAGATATACAAATCTACTTATTTTTAAAGAAACATACATAAAGTATTCTACATTTTGCAATTTTAGGAAACATGAAATATACTACTATACATGGTACAATGAAGAGAAGGTAGGTCAACTTTGAAAAAAATGCAAGTATAGAGGTCTACCTGTTTGGCTTGTAATGTCAGAATTGCTATCAAAAAAATAAAAAAGCAAACAACTTGTTGCATTGATTTTAAATAAATAATTTAAAACCGCGAAAACTGAATAAAAGGTCAACATTTCTTTTCAAAATCATGTTCTATATATCTCTTATGGTTTATTTCGCGACAAAAACTGTAGATTTTGTCGATGCATACGTTGCAATAAGCATTTTAAAAACACCCGAATTTGAATATTTTGTGAACAATTTTTCTATTATTGAAAAGAAGACACACACATAAGCAAATGAAGTTGACATATTAAGCCAGAAAAATATAAAAATTGAAATCATACCTTGAATTCATTGTACCATGCTACTATATTATGTGTCGCTGTTCCTTAACCGAGAAAAAACTTTCCGCACTATTACCGTCGACAGTGAATTTTTCTATTATTAGGCAAAAATATGTTCACATTGCCTTGCATTGAAATGTTGGAACAAAATAATGTATACCTATTCTATATCAAAAACTGAAATTAAATAACAAAACGTCATATCGAATTCGACACTATTATTAAGAGTCAAATTATCTTGGGCTGTAATAATTATACCATGGATTGTATCGTGTGTTGCTTGCATTATGTACTACGGCTTAAGACAGAAAATGGGCCATGCAGCTCCACGTCTTCGTATAGCCCCATATAACGGTACCCCCCGATATTCGGTATTTTGATGATTTTAGCGACGTTATTTACCGGAATTGTTTCAATTTTGGTATTCGAAGTTTGTAATGAATACTACAGCCTATGACAGAAAATTGTCTGTGCAGGTCCACGTCTTCGTATAGCCCCCATATAACGGAACCCCCGATATTCAGTATTTTGATGATTTTAGCGACATTGTTTACCGGAATTGTTTCAAATTTCGCATTTGAAGTTCGTAATGTATACTACAGCCCATCACCGAAAATTGTTTGTGCAGGCCCACGTTTTATAACCCCCATGGTACCTCCCTATATTTGATATTTTGATGTTTTAGCTACATTATAAACATATTTTTTTCAAGTTTCGCATTTGAATATTGTAATAGCTTGTGACAAAAGTTGCCTATGCAGGTCCACGTCGTCGTATAGACCCTAATATACGGCTACATTCGGTATTTTTAAGATTTTAACTGAATTTTTAACGGATTTTATTTTTTTTTTTTGGAAATTGTTAAATTTGTACCAAATGGTGGAGGGTATTCAAAGTTCGGCCCGGCCGAACATATAGCTTTTTTACTTGTTATATTTTTTAAAATATGCGTTAAACACTGAAATGACTGCTTAGCAACATGGACTGGGTCAGCCAGAAAAAAATATGAATCGATTTCCCATCCATTTTTTGTGCCTCAAAAATAGTCAGATACTGGATAATTTCTTTAAATGCAAATGTATTAATGTTATTTATTAACAAAGACGACAGTCTTGTAAAACTATTGTATTGTTGATTGCAAAAAAAATTAAGTAAAACAAAAATTATTATAAATTAAGTTTCATTTCATTTTTAAAACTATGTCTTTAGCTTTGGCGATTGCTTCATCAATATCTCCCACCATGTAGAAAGCCACTTCGGGTATATCGTCCATGTCACCGTTCAAGAGACGCTTAAAGCCTTCAATAGTCTTGGTTAAAGGTACCATTTTGCCCGCGTGCCCCGTGAATACTTCAGCAACTTGAAATGGCTGCGATAGAAAACGCTGTATTTTCCTTGCCCTCGCCACAGTTAGTTTATCATCTTCGGAGAGTTCGTCCATTCCCAATATAGCTATAATATCCTATATGCGAAATATTGATAAGAATAATTCATTTAAAGGTCTCTAACCTTATCATGTGGCCAAACAAGAAGCATTGGCAAAGCAAATTATTTGGCGGACACAACTGTTTTTATTTACCTGCAGCGATTTATAACTCTGCAGTGTTTTTTGAACGGATCGTGCTACAGTATAATGTTCATCTCCCACTATCATGGGATCCATTATGCGCGAGGATGAATCCAACGGATCAACTGCGGGGTAGATACCCAACTCAGCAATTGGTCTTGACAAAACTGTTGTGGCATCTAGATGCGAAAATGTAGTTTGCGGTGCTGGATCGGTCAAATCATCAGCAGGTACATATACGGCCTGCACCGATGTAATGGAGCCATTTTTGGTGCTTGTAATGCGCTCTTGCATAGTTCCTACAGATTATAAGACATATTTGCATTATTTTATAAAGATAATTTGGCTCGTTTACCTACCCATGTCGGTGCCCAATGTCGGTTGATAACCAACTGCAGACGGAATCCGTCCTAGTAAAGCTGACACTTCTGATCCAGCTTGAGTGAATCGAAATATATTATCAATGAAAAGCAGTACGTCTTGACCTTCCATATCACGAAAATATTCTGCTATTGTGAGGCCGGTTAATACAACCCGGGATCGTGCACCTGGTGGTTCATTCATTTGTCCATACACTAATGTTACCTTGGAGGTATCATCGTCCAAAGAAATAACTTTTGACTCAATCATTTCCATATAAAGATCGTTCCCCTCTCGTGTGCGTTCTCCAGCGCCTACAAATACCGAATAGCCTCCATGGGCTTTTGCAATGTTATTAATTAATTCCATGATCAACACTGTTTTTCCCACTCCAGCTCCACCAAATAAGCCAATTTTTCCACCTTTTACATATGGAGCCAATAAATCGATTACCTATAAATGAGCAACTACATCGTGAATGTATGAACGGATAGTCTTTGAAGGAAAAACTCTTAGTTATGGGACATTTGTATGCAACAAAAAATGTTTATGAACAATTATTTAGATATTTTATTTAATAGATGTTTATGGATACATTACCTTTATTCCGGTTTGAAGTAAAACAGGGTTAACTGACAAATCTGTCATTTCCGGGGCTTCAGCATGAATAAAAGAATAAAATTCCGATTTAATAGGGCCTCTTTCGTCAATGGGATCTCCGGTAACGTTCAGAATACGGCCCAATGTAGCTCGGCCGACAGGGACACGAATTGGATGTCCAGTATCAACTACCTTTTGTCCACGTCGTAAACCCTCAGTGCTGTCCATGGCCACAGAACGTACGATATTGTTGCTTAAATGATGAAATACCTTAAGGATTTTAAAAAATTGAATACACTTCATTGCATCATATGAAAGAGATTATTAACCTCCAACACTAAACGATTTCCATCTTTATAATCGGAAACCTCCATTGCATTCAGGATCTCGGGTATTTCATCTTCAAAAAACACATCAACAACAGGACCAATAACCGCATGTATCTGACCTACTCTTGGCTGAGGCGATCCGTCTTTGCACGATGTTGAGACCTTTGATTTAGCTGCATCTTCGTGTTGATCTTCTGTACATGGATCAAAATCGTCTGGAGGACATTCGCAATCTATGAATTCAGAAATGCAAAAAAATAATTAAATATATTATCATATTTGTTTCGTTACCATCATCCTTCTTTCCCTTCATAAGTTTCTCGAAATTGCGATAACTTCTCCCAAGTGTTGGAAACGAATTCGGTTCGCTGGCCTGCATTGGAAAATGTCCCCATGATCCTATTTCAAATTTTAAGTTTTTAAAGTATCCACGCATTTTGTTGTTAATAATATCTTACTAGGGGAAACCATTAACAATCTTTTCATAAAATGCATTTTTTTTTAATTAATGCTTATATGTATTTATAATATTGACTTCTTTTTGTTTAATGTTTAAAATTCATGGCTTTCTAAGTCAGTATTCAATATTATTGAAATTTGCAAACTGAGTATAACAAATTACAGTGATAAATAAATAATAAATTAAAATTTATGGTAAGAAGGTATCCGAAAGAAAGAAGGAATTCTTCCGGCAAAGCTGAAAAGCTTAATTAGTGTTTTTTATTTATTAATTATTGGCATGGAGTTTCCTACCAAATAGTATCTGATGTTCAAAAAAGCTAATGCGGCTAAAATGTCGTCATCAAAATGTCTTATTGTATGGAATCCGTTTCACGACATTCAGAGTCTGGCTAGGGCGCCCAATAACTATCTAAGGGTGGATTTCAAATATTGACTTTTTTTCTTCTGAAAATTTAATTTTCGTGAAATCAGTTTTCTTGAAATTTGGAAATTACATTCAGTTTCGCAGGAAAATTTGAACAGGAAATTAAAAATACATAAAAACAGGGATATCGTTACATGGAGGCTATAGAAAACACTGGACCTATTTAGAAACTTTTTGCAAGGAGAATTGATTCTAATGTGAACCCAAAAAATTGAATTTGGTTAGAAATTATGGCAAAATCTTTTAAATATGGAAAACCCGTTACATGGGTGCTACAGTATCATTAATATCAATCAATTTCAATAGTCATCGAACATCACTAAATCGAAGGTAGTTTAACTTGAAAGAAATTAGGAAAAAACGAACTCTGTAATAGTGTTCCACTGTACATTGTATATTTTACAATTTTTCAAACATTTCTTAAATTAGGGAGAACCATAGTACAATAAGGAGGTAGAACAGCTTCGTCAAACTACAGAAATACAGCCCTGAGGCTATGCCTGATATGCAACAAGTTGGTTTCATTTTTTTTCAATTTTTTTTTCCTCATCTTTAAAATGAGTTATAAAGCGAAAAATGAATGAAATGCCCGAATTTTCGCTCAAAAATATCCAAACTGTTCAATCTTTCAATTTCATGGCTTAATTGGTTAATAGCTTTAATGCGCGAGCCGCAATCTACGTGTCTTCCAATCATTGGTTTTGAAAATATTTCGTTTTCATTTTTCAAAACAATAAATACATACACAAAATTGGCATAAGTCGGGCACACTTAGAAATAATTGTAATCAGCTGGTAGCTCTACCTTACATTTTTATACCCTCCACCTTGGTAAGGAGGGTATATTAACTTTGTCATTCCGTTTGTAACATCCTTAAATATTCGTCGTAGACCCCATAAAGTATATATATTCATAATCAGCATAAAATTCTAAGTCGATTTAACGATGTCCGTCTGTCTGTCTGTCCGTCTGTCTGTCTGTCTATCCGTCTGTCTGTCTGTTGAAATCACGATACAGCCCAGAGTATTTCACGTAGAGCGCCAAAATTTTGCAGAGCAATTCGCATTGTGTCTGTGATGGTTGGTATTTAAAATGAGATATATCGGTTCACGTTCTGGTATAGTCCCCATATAACGGTACCTCCCGATATTCGGTATTTTGATGATTTATGACACATTTTTTCACGGATTTGCTTGAAAATTGGTATTTGTAGGTCATAACGGGTCCCTGTGCGTGTGGCAAAACATTGCATGTATAGGTCCACGTTTGGTATAGCCCCCATATAACGGTATCTCCCGATATTCGGTATTTTGATGGTTTTTGCCAAATTTTTTCACTGATTTGTCTAAAAATTTGTATTTGTGGATTATAATGGGTCCTACTTCGTGTGGCGAAACATTGTAATTATAGGTCTACGTTTTGGTGTAGCCCCCATATAACGGTATCTCCCGATATTAGGTATTTAAATGGTTTTTCTTCTAATGTTTCTTTAGGTGGAGGGTATAAAAAGTTTGGCCCGGCCGAACTTAATGTTTTTTTACTTGTTATTGTACCATTTGGTACAAGGTAGGGCACTACTAGCAATCCATTTTATTTTTTTATACCCTCCACCAAAAAAGGTATGGAGGGTATATTAAGTTCGTCATTCCGTTTGTAACTCATCGAAATAATCATTTTAGACCCAACAAAGTATATATATTCTTGATCAGCGTAAAATTCTAAGACGATTTAGCCCTGTCCGTCCGTCTGTCCGTCTGTTGTAATCACGCTACAGTCTAAACGAATTAAGATAGGAAGCTAAAACTTTGCACAGATCTCTCTTTTGTCCTGCCTGCAGGTCAAGTTCGAAGATGGGCTATATCGGTCCACGATATCGTATAGCCCCCATATAACGGTACCCCCGATATTCGGTATTTTGATGATGTTACCCACATTTTTCAATGGAATTGTCTGAAAATCCACACAAGTAGTTCCTTGTGGGTACTTTATACCTCGGCAGATAATTATCTATATAGGTCCACAATATCGTATAGCCTCCATATAACGGTAACCCCCGGTATTCGGTATTTTGATGATTTTAGCCATATTTTTCAATGGAATTGTATGAAAATCCACACAAGGAGTATCTTGTGGGTACTTTATACCTCGGCAGAGAATTATCTATATAGGTCCACAATATCGTCCAGCCCCCATATAACGGTACCCCCCGATATTCGGTATTTTGATGATTTTACCCACATTATTCAACGGAATTGTCTGAAAATCCACATAAGGAGTTCCTTGTGGGTACTTTATACCTAGGCAGAGAATTATCTATATAGGTCCACAATATCGTATAGCCCCCATGTAACGGTACCCCCGATATTCGGTATTTTGATGATTTTACCCACATTCTTCAACGGAATTGACTGAAAATCCACACAAGGAGTTCCTTGTGGGTACTTTATACCTCGGCAGAGAGCTCCCATGTAACGGTACCCCCACGGTATTCGGTATTTTGATGATTTTTGCCACATTTTTCAATGGAATTGTCTGAAATTCCACAAAAGGAGTCCCTTGTGGGCATTTTACCTCCTCAAACAGAATTGTCTATATAGGTCCACAATATCGTATAGCCCCCATATAACGGTACCCCCCGATATTCGGTATTTTGATGATTTTACCCACATTTTTCAACGGAATTGTCTGAAAATCCACACAAGGAGTTCCTTGTGGGTACTTTATACCTCGGCAGAGAATCATCTATATAGGTCTACAATATCGTATAGCCCCCATATAACGGTACTCCCCTATATTCGGTATTTTGATGATTTTAGCCACTTTTTCCAATGGAATTATCTGAAAATCCATACAAGGAGTTCCTTGTGAGTACTTTACACGCAGACATATATTTGTCTTTATAGGACCACAATATCGTATATTCCCCCATATATCGGCACCTTCCTATATTAGATATTTTAAAGATTTTTAAAGAATTTTTATTGGATTTAATTTTTTTGAAAATTTTCTAATTCGTTCCAAATGAGGGTATTCAAAGTTCGGCCCGGCCGAACTTACTGCTTTTTTACTTGTTTTTTTTTATTTTCTTGACTTAACATGTCAACCCATAGTATACTGGAATTGTCCAGTATACCATGAGAGAGAGTAAGGTAGTTTTATTCCCGTTTGCAAGGAAAATGCGAAAGGTTAACAGATGGTATTGCTGCTGAAGCTTGCAACTAACCAGCTGATTTGTCAAAACAAACCAATTTGTCCCCCATTCATAGAATTAAGAGAAAGGAAACACCACCAATCTTACAAGTTTTATAAATAAAAAGTAAACTAGCACTAAAATAAAAAAATGAGCAATAAAAGAAAGATAGATTTGATGTGCTCCCTGGAATCCTTTGACGTGTTGCTAATGGCGTTTGTCTAAAAATGTTAGAAATAGTCTTTAATTTTTTTATTACATATTAATATTTAAGTTTTTCACATTTTATTAAAGTTTTTCTCCAAAAACAATTAGTCTTGCTTATTCCAAAAAAATCAAATTGAAGGCACAAAAAGAAATAAAAAAACAATAGAAAACATCTTATTGAATGTCGATGAATGAGAAGAGTTGCAAGTGATTGCAAGAAGAAATTTGCCAAGCAAGAATTTGCAAACTCTCACTGAAAGAACTGTCAAAATTCTCTCTCCAACCGCTCTCTTTTGCAGAACTTTCGGGTTAACAGACTACTTTCAGTAACAATTGTTTCAATATTTAGGGTAAACAGACACACCTATTATTATAGGTAACAGCAAGTCCCAGCTGTAGTGTTGATATAAAAAAGAAGTTAAAGTTGACAACATTAGCATTAATCGGTAGGCTTTAGCGACTACTTTGATTTCGTCACTAACTTACTGATAAATTTCGATAATTACCGAAATTATAAGCATTTTCATTTTACCGACTTTTGTCGTTAACACAAAAAATGAGTTAGAGAATTCCACTACTGATTTACTAGAGTCAAACTCGATATGACGTTTTGTGATTTAATTCCATTTCTTGATATACCCTTTTTGATATAAAATTTCACTGCAGGACAATGTGAACATATTTTTGCCTAATAATAGAAAAAATCGCCGTGGTACTTAACAAAATGCCAAAGGCGATGGTTCGGAAGCTTTTTTTGCGGTTAAGGAACAGCGAGACCATGTTAGATAATTCATTCGTACATGTTTCCTAAAATTGCAAAATGTACATGGTATAATTATTACAGGTAACAGCAAGTCCCAGCTGATTGGATTCTATAGTAATACTAGTTCCAAACTCGATATGACATTTTGTGATTTAATTCCATTTCTTGATATACAATAGGTATACCCTTTTTTATATAAAATTTCACTGCAGGGCAATGTGAACATATTTTTGCCTATAATAGAAAAAATCGCCGTTGTACTTAACACAACGCCAGAGGCGATGGTTCGAAAACTTTTTTGCGGTTAAGGAACAGCGACACCTCGTTAGATAATATATTCGTATATTTCATGTTTCCTAAAATTGCAAAATGTAGAATACGTTATGTATGTATGCTGTTTTCAACTTGAAAGGGATATTGCCATTTCTACGATTATCTAGCGATTGCTTGAAGTGTTGAGAGATTAGGACCAACAGCTAACAACTATACATTAAGGGGAATGATGTGAAAGCATTAAAGTTAAATATTTAATAATCCAAAATAATTCAATTTAATAATCCAAATTCCAAAAATTATATTTTTGAAATTTAAATAATTTATTGAAAATTAATTATTTTGTTTACATTTTTGGACATATAACTCTGGCGCTTGTATTACGTACAAAAACAAATTTTTATGTAGTTGTTTTTACGATTGTTGTACAATAACACTGTACCTGTTACCTGTATTATTCTACCATGATGTCAACCTTAGTTGTGTATGTGTGTTTATACTTTAAAATTATATGAAAATTGTTTAGAAAATTCAAATTTTCAAATTCAGTTGTAATCAAAATGCTTATTACAACGTATGTATGGATAAAACATGCACTTTTTGTTGCGATGGGAAGGTGGGAATACATAAAGCGCTTATCTGGCAGGCTTAAGTCATCGGTTGGCTTCTAAAACTGCTTTGTTCAAAGACATAGAAGTATAAAGATAGGACAAGACAGAGTCAAAATATGGCAACTCTGTGAAAATATCTCTGTTGTTATGATACCATAACAACACATGATTTAAACCGCTAAGGCAATAGGCAAATTTTTGGAAAGGTCTATGGAATAGAATTTTGAAACCACATTTTTGGAATTTTCAAACTTTTATTTGTCATTCATTTCTGTAATTGAGGATTTTCAATTAACTTGTCTCTGTCATGAGCTGTTACACTATGTATTGTAGACACAAACCATTTGCTCAAAATGCATTTTGTCTAGTCTTTACCATTTTAGGTATTTGCTTTGTTCTTCTACGAAGAAGCCAGCCAAATATGCGCTTTATGTGGCGTTTCCACTGCACTTGATTCGCTCTCTTTTCGTTGTTTGGCCCTTAACTATGAAAAAACTATCTAATTCTTCACACAAAATTTCCTGAGCGAACACTCATATTTGTACGTTGTTCAAATCAAATCACTCTCAGAACAACGAAAAAATATGTCCCATCCCTAACAAATGAAAGCATTTATCGAAAAAATAAATTATGACATTTAAAAATTAAAAATAGGAAAATTTAATGAAATTTTAAAATTTTTTGGGAAGACTGAAAATTATGTATGAAAACTACAATGTTGAATGGCGTATGTACATTCAAACGAAAGTAAATTTTGTTTTCTCTCTCATTCGAAGTACGCATTTGGTCCACGAGATGAAATTTCCACAGAAAACTGCAAACAAAAGAGGCAATATTTTCAAAATGTTTCTATTGGCAGAAAAAATGTTGGACAAGTGTCTCTCCAGTAGAATTTAAAAATGGAAAAACACAAAAATATGTTCAAAATTTCAAGATTTACACAAAAAGTTGAAAACGTGAATGAAAATTATAAAATTATTGATATAATACATATTTGGGAGAAAAACAATCATTTCTTTTATTCATATTAGTGAGAATTTAATGTATTTTAGTATAAATTCCCATTAAAATCAAGAAACAAAATTTTTGAAAAAAGGAATTATTTTACTATGAATTACGAATCGTGCCGTATGAACGGGTTAATTCGTGTACCTAATTCTGAGAGCGAACAACGTTGTTCGGTTTCCAATGGAAACATGCTATAACTCTTATGTGCAACAACACCTGCTGTTACCTGTATTATTCTACCATCGGTATTACCCAAACACGCCAGGGCCTGGATTCTTGTTCTATGAAAATATGAAATGAAAAATATTTCCTTTATAACATTTTTCATTTCTTTTCTTTTTAAAAGTTTTCATTTCACATTTTCATAGAACAAGAATTGAGGCCCAGGTCCATAATTTCAAATTTACCAAATAATTTAATTGTTAAAAATTGATACTCTATTAAATTCACCCAATTGCTATATTCTCCAATTACGAACATAAAAACATTTCCTCTATTCGAATGGAAAAGTTAGTTATTTCAATGTTGAAAATGTTTAACTTTGAAATTTGGTACGGTCGACATGTTTCGGTGAAATTCATATAAATACTTGTCTGATGAAGAATGTCGAACGAGTACGTCGAATTTTAAGTAAAGCTGTAAATGATGTTTTATGGAGGTGTTTTTATTGTTTTTTTTTTTTTAATTTGTAATACCCTGTCATATACTTGACTGGAATATGAATTACAACCCTTAAAATTTGTATCCTTGGCAACAACATATTTGTTATGGTCAGTTCAAGTCAATACCTCAAGGATATCCAATTCAAATATTAAAACTCTACACAATGGAAGAATTATCGGAATACTCGTCACCAGTAATTGAATTCAGAGCCACACATGGCGAGGAGAAACATATGAAGCAAGTCGACAAGAACACCGGGACAGACACCCTGCCTTCGAAAATTGATACGTCTACCGAAATCAATCCGACATCTAGCAAAGCAACACAAACCTACTCGAACAAAGAATTCCAAAAAAATATAGATGAACGAAAACTGGCAATTTGGTTGCGTCAAATCCTCCCAAGTGTAGAAAAGGAACTACTTAAAGGTTGTACGCCAGACTTCGATTCAAATGCTCCTGCCGCAGTTGCTATTCCCGAAATACAACTATATCAAAAGCTGCAATTGGACACGACAGAAAATTCTCAAGGAATCGGCATTTGGTTGGCTGTACATACCAACAATGCTCCCATTTTAGTTATTAGCTCCGTATCGCCACACGACGACGACTGGTGCGAACATGTGGACAAACACATCTTTGTGTATGCTCCAGTACGCGAACATGGCAGTAACTTTATTACCTGGAGGGAAGCAAAGCGAATTTCTATTAAAGCATGCCTGAGCAGTCTGTGCACCAATCCTTTCAATAAATCTATATTCGCTGGTTCGACAATGGATGGTGGCATTTTCATTTGGAACTGTCACCAAAGCGTCAAATCGCTGGACATAACAGAACTGTCCAATGCAACGGCATTGCATGGCTATGCCAATGCAATGGATTGGTCTAGCGAACAAACTCTGCTGACAGCCCACAGCAGTGGTACCGTTGTGCAGTGGCGTTTGGGCGCCGACTTGACATCGGAGGCCGAGTAAGTATATTCATGGAAATTGTTATAGAGTTTTCAAATAATAACATAATAACGACGATGTTTCAGGTATCTGATCAAAGCTTCGCCCGGAGCCACCAGAGAAATATCCATTTCGTGTTTGTTGGCTCGGAGTGCAAATGATTTTATTGTCGGTTGCAACGATGGATCCGTGTATCACTGCTGGATCTCTAGTTCTGCGGCTGTGAGAAAGTTTTATGTGGATATTGTTCCACTGAAGAAACATCTTTTTAAGGTGTCATCTTTGTTAAAAACGCGATTCAATGGACACGGAATTGTAATAAGCTGTGATCTAAGTGGCGAGGTGTATTTTCATGATTTAGGAAACTCCAGAGATGTAAGTACGATATTGTTTAATTATGAAGTTACTCCACATCCTTTGTTCTTTGTCTAGTTGTAACAAAACAATTGGGACTGCATTGTGGCACGTGTGTATTTTATCCCACTTTATTTGAATAGATGTACGGAAGTTTATGGTGATAGAGAATATAAATCTGCGGCTCAGGCAATAATTGTAGTCAAAATATCTTATTATGTCTAGCTCTTGCCAAATTTTATATAGTTCCCCGCAAAAACTTCCATTAGCAGATAATGGGGTTCCTAATCAATTTTTGGTAATCGTAATTACAAATCAACGTACCAATAAATTATTTTCACAATGGCATGTCGTACGAAGTAATATTAATTTTTTGGCCACCAAAATACGAGAAATAGATGGATACAAGTGAAAAAGCAGTTTCATTTCCCTCCACCATTTGGAAAGAATTCGAATAATTTTTCGTTAAAAAATGCCGCTAAAACTATCAAAATACCGATTATTTGGTAAAAAAAATTTACACTGGGCCATACCGTAGATTGAACCAAGTAATATAGAAAATTGTGGAGATTCTAAAAATACTTTTATATCCTCGAAACAGAAATTTTAGGCCCAACAAAGAGGAAAATGTTTGCATGTTTCATTGTTTGTTAGTAATTTATGGAATCAAAAACCGCTGCAGATTTCCAAGTATAAACAAAGTAACATAGGCTATATAAATTTTTGAAATTCCACTTGAAAATCGAGAATCGAAGGTAACTCCCAAAAATTTAGATTTTATATACACATATCTATTGATAGATTACAGATACAGTCTCCAAATTTGAAATGCGTAACGGAATTTGGAACAAAACTAAATTTGCCAAATTATATTGAAATCGGTTCAGATTTGGATATAGCTCCCATATATATTTTTGGGTCGATTTTACATATTTGATGCACCCAATTAATGTTTTACCACCCACGAACGGGTTTTTCAATTCGATTATAATATCAAACTTGGAAGACATGTAGATTGCGGTTCGCGCATTAAAACTGCTTATCAGTTTAGCCATGAAATTTAAAGATTTAACAGTTGGATCATATTTTTGAGAGAAAATCCAGGCATTTCATTCATTTTTCGTGCTCAGACTATAAAACAATGAGTCTGACAGGAAGCGGGCATAGCCTCAGGGTCGTATTTTTGTAGTTTTACGAAGTTGTTCTACCTCCTTATTGTACCATGGTAAGGACCTTTAAACATTTGTTGTAAAAAATCAGCGGACAAGTTGAAGATTTTTTTCTTTTTTCAATTTGTTTTTCTTTTTTTGTCGATTATTTTTTCCATCTGCTTATCATATTGAATTCAATAGTTTTTTTTTTGTGAACCAAATAAGGGATTATTTTCACCATCTAAAAGTTATGTTAGTTACTAGGCTTATAACTCAAGAACGGCTTGACGGATTTTAACAATTCATAAAATTTCGGAATGGTATTTTGGCAAAACATCGCCTGAAAATATGCCAATAAAAATTTGAATGAAAAAATCTTTTTGGCGTAAATTTTTTTCCAATTCGACATACTATATTGAAGTTTACATTATTTAATATTGAAATTAGTGCGCAATACGATGTTAAATGGATCTTTCATGTCTAAAATTGGCATCTAGCTTTCAATTCCGGGACCTACAAACAAAAAAGTTTAAATCATACGATGGTTATATAAATATGAAATCGGTTTGTATTCTTATCCGTGAGTTATGATCTATATCATGACCTGCAAAAGCGATTTAAGGTATCTTGTTTGGGAAGAATTTCTGAAAGGATAGAATCCTTTCCTTACAAAAAGACCAATTCGCTCTACTATTTTGCACCCTAGATATATTTGGTATTTTACTGATTGTACTCCCAAAGAATTTTGCATTTTGAGCTCTCATTGGACGGATTATTGTCACATGAAAGAAGTAGGTCCACGCTTTGAAATGAGCCCCATTAGGCTTTTTCGGTCATTTTTGTTTATTTAAATGTGTTCGCATCTTCCAGCTGAACTACGATGTAGGCCCTGGAGTTGAAAGGTAGATGTCAGTTAACTTCCTATTTCGCACTTATTTCATTTTTTTGGTGAAAAATGATATATAGTGAAAAATTATTCTTTATTTTGTTCACAAAAAATCCATTGAAATCATGTATTGTTTTGAAAAATAAATAATAAAAAATAATGTTTTGAATAATAAAGTATTTAAAAAATGTTCAAATTCTGATGAAATTCATATTACAGCTTTACAAATGCTTCTGTTATGGAATGAAAGCAATCATATTAGAAACTCGATGTTGTGAAAAATTCACGGCGTTCCTTAAGTGTTTCACGATTTTTTTTTAGATTTTTTTTATACATGGAAGCTACAAGACTAGCTTTTTAAATTTAATCATTCTACCCTACCTAGTAATTACTGTAGCAAGCTTGGTAAGCCGTTTACTTATGCCACAAAAAAAAATCATGCAGTTTTTATAATATACAGGGTGAGATAAAAAAAACTGCAACAAAGTCAAACGCCATAATTTTTATTTATTTTTTTTAATTTTATTGAATGAAAGCAAAAAATGTCGGAAATAGTATCAAATTTTAAAATAAGTATAGATTTGTTTGAATTGGTCACCTTTGGTATGAATTACGGCCAATGAAACCGTCACACGTTGCCCGAATGTTGCTCTGCGGTATTTTGGCACGGCGAAGCGCTTGCTTGAGGTGATCGATAACAACTCTTTAGCTCTTTTGAGTCTATTTTCGTTCTGTTGCGGTGTAAGTTCTTGCACTTTTTGGAATTTCAATGGCTTTACCCCCACCTTATTTTTCAATATTTGTCGAATGGAATATTGCGATATGTTGAGCTCACGAGCCATTTTTCGGCCACTGCGACGTGGGTCTCGATCAAGTCGCTTCTTTACTTTTCGAACCATTTTTGCTGATGTTGCTGTTTTCTTCCGTCCACTTCTTTGACGTCGGGCTACGCTGCCAATATCACAGTAACGAGCGATGTTACGAGACACAAAAGACTTATTCACATCTAGATTCTGGAGTGCTCTAACGATAGCCACTTGTGGTTTTTCAGCCAAATATAAAGAAATCACACTATCATGCTTGAATTCCATCGCGAATAACTTTTTTTTTGTGGAAAATTCTCACTAAAATGCTTTTGTACGCTTGTAAACAATATAATGACACTGGAATAATTTTAACAGCACAATGACAGCAGTCTGAAGTTGGTTGCAGTTTATTCATCTCACCCTGTATATAGCAGCCATGACCGCACTTATAAGCCTTGTGTTTCGAATCATTGTCTTGATAAAAATAATAATCTTTGCCAAGGCCGAGCTTTTCCTTACAGAGTGGCAAACTTTCTTTCAAAATGTTAAGGTACATAGTCTGATCCATAATAATCTCAATAAAATGCAATACACCAGGTCAAGAGACTGAAAATTAACCATACACCATTACTAACCCACCACCGTGCTTCACTGCAGGTTCCATATTTTTTTTTTTTTTTTTGGCAAGGAGCGCTTCATTTGCCTTTCTCTATACATAAGGTCTGACATCAGAACCAAAAAGGTTGAATTTGCTCTCGTCGCATTCTTTTTATATGTGCGCCTTGGCAAATCGCAATCTTGCTTATTGATTTCGCTTGCTGATTACAGGTTTATGCCTAGCTTCTTCTTCCATTGTAATTCGACTATGCAGTATATTTCTTATTGTTCAAGGGCAACATAAATTTCCCAAATCCTTTTCAGCAATTTTTGCGAGCTTCGGTGCACTCAAAAATGGATACTTTTTGATCTGCCGTAACATAGACTGCTCATCACTCAAGGTAAATATTTAATTATTTACCGTTTTTGATTTATTTTCTACACATGCATCTGTTTTGAACCTTTTTATGATATCTCAGATATCTCACCTAGGTTAGGTTAGGTTAAAGGATGTGTGGTTGTGTAAAAACAACCACTCCACTCGGAGACCTATTGGCCCATTGTGATCATCCTAATTTAGAAAAATGAAAGTGAAAAAGTTAGGAGGTTAGAGTAGAATAGATAGGAAATAAAAGAGTTAGTGGATTTGCATCCACGGTGTAGTCAGCGTGTCGTCCTTAGCCATTTTAGTCTTCTGGCTATCTGAAGAATAACTACTGGCTCTGTTTCGGAGAGGCATGACAAATCGGGCAGAATTTGCTTACCTAGAAGCCTATGTCTTACTCCGATCAGGATAGGACAGTGACAGAGTAAGTGTTCCACCGTTTCTGTTTCTTCCTCATCTTGGCAAATCCTGCAGTATTCAGTGTCGTCACCCCTCCATTTTGAAGTCATGGCCTTTATGTTGCAATGACCTGTAATAAGACCCACCACAAGCTTCAGGTCCAACTTCGTCATGGATGTGAGTGACCGTGATCTCTTTTCTGAGTTCACTGGCCAAATCTTTTTGGAGATGTTACATCCCCTTCCAGATATCCAGTTCTGTTGAAATCTCCCAAGATAGTGATTATGAAGTACTTGAAAGAAGTGGCATAAAGGTGGCTTCACTGAGGTCTCAATCTCTAGATCTACTGACTCAGATCCGCATCTGACCAATTCATCGGCAGATTCATTGCCAGATATGTTGCAGTGTCCAGGAACCCAACAGAGCTTGACAAACGACTTTACCTTTTCCAGGGCAATCTTGCACTCCAGAACAGCCATAGATTTGATTATAAAAGAATTTAGAGCTTTTAGGGCCGCTTGACTATCGACATATATAGTCACCGGTCCATCCCGTTCATTGATTCTGTTTTCCAACAGCTCTATGGCCATTCTGACAGCAAAAATCTCTGCCTGAAAAACACTACAATCGCTGTTTAGTCTGAAAGACCGTCGGATACTGTTGCGAGTGGTCCACTTAGAAGAACCTTCTGTCCTCTCTGTAAAATTGTTATTTACAAATGTCAGCTGTCATAGAACAGTTGGTGTTCGTATGGCGTATCTACACCGCCCGTACTAAATATTACTTGCTCCCATGTAAGGTGTCGTCCCTGAATGACGACGGGAGAGAGAGTTTTACGCCATATCTCAAATTTCCCAAATAACGTCAATGATGGCGGAAGAAAGAGAAATTATATTGTATTAATACCAATATTAAATGCATTATTGGAATTATGTTGCAGTTGGAATATGCGCATATAAAAGCAAAGTCAGCACGAAGAAGCTTTCTTTTTATTTTGTGAACGGTTTCAGTGCGAGCGTAATTTTATGCGTGTTTCCAAAACAATTGTAACAGAATAAAAAAAAATAAAACAAGCAAACTATTCATAAAGAGTTAAATAAAGTTTAAAGGCATGATAGCCAGCGAACACTTCCAAATAAAAAGGATTGTGAAAAGTTCAAGAGCAATACGAAAAATTGGACTGACGTTCGTAGCTGCTTAAAGAAAACCTTAGTATCTGAACGCTGATAATTTCTTAAAGATACGCTCGGCAGCTAGCGATTGTCAGCTGCATCCTGTGGTCACCAAACACCCTGTGTATGCCAATTGTGCCAGTGCCTAAGATCAGCTGCTGAAAAGTGGACTCTATCCGAAATATATTTCAACACTGCAAAATTCATCATATGGTCGTGATTTTATGTCAGTTTTCTCGCTGAGAAAGGAAAACTAATATACCAGTGGCCCAGGAAGAGTTCAGTATAACAGCAAGGTAACAAAGTGTTATAAAACGATAAACATCCTTATACTTTGGAAACTATAGCCGGCCGTTAGGCGCAGAAGAAAACAACCCAAGTTTGACTTTATTAATTTTTATTTTTTTTGATACTTTTATTATATTTTTTTTTGATACTTATTCGAGGAAACAATTTACGTAAATCTTAGTCTAAGTTTTTTTATTTACATTTTTGTGTTATTATAGTATTTTTGTTGTGATTGTTTTTTCTTTATTTTTTTATTTATTGTAAGGGACTATATATCAAGGGCAGGGGTCTTATAAACCGTTTTTTTTTGTCGTGAGACGTAGATGGTCTCGGAAATATTATATACTTAATTGAGCTCGATTAGGTAGGCGTCTTAACATAGTCGGTAACTTTCTGGCGAAATTTCAAGCCAGTGAAAAATACCCAATCCCCTTAGTATAGGTCCTGATAGGGAATAAATTTAATTTTTGACAATATAAGAAAGCAAATCTAATAATAAGGTCCTTTCGACTTTGTAATTTCGATATTCAGCTTCCTAATTTTAATGTCCGAATAAAAATGTGAATCGTATTATAAGAATTAAAATGAATATTGTTTGAGAAAAAATTATTGGAAGGATTATGGTCGAGTGGGGTGGTGAATAGAGTAAGGGAGTCAATGGGGTCCACATAATGAAAAATAGGGTTTCGTGGACCATGGTAGGGTGGGCCGAGTGGGGGTTCCGAACAGCAAGGGACCTTAAAATCCTCAAGGAATGTTCTCTGTGTGTTTTGTTTTAGAGTAAATATTTGTATTCGTTCACCCATGAAATAAATGATGTTGGACCCGAAGTTCGTTTGGCGGTTGAGAACCTACCTGAGAGTCTTGAGCAGCCGGAAGGCCAAACCGATACTGTAAGAGCGGTCATAACAGAATGGCGCCCAATTTAGAAATAAATACCTAGATTGCCATATTGGTAATTCAAGGAAAAGTAATGTTTATTGTGTGTAATACCCAAACACAAAGCAATAGATCAGCCTAGATTCAATAGTTTCGAAATCTAGTCCTCAGCTAAAGTATCTAACTGGTATTGCAACCAGACCTATGGATTAGATAGGTTCTGATTAAATGTGCAATATTAGTATTAGAATAATATTGGCTAGATTTATAGGAAAGGGTCTTAGTGCAATCTCTAGTTGTGTTTTTGTAACTATGAATGTTGTAATCGACCTGTGATGTTTTGTACTGTTTTTTTTTTTATAATTTTGAATAGATCCAAGATAAGATTTTGCTGGCTATAAGAAATCGGCATCCCAGGTGAATAATTCCCGTGAGATAAGTGTCGATGGCCACAACCCATATGATCTTTACTTTCAATAAAAAGAGGGAAGCAATGCAATGGCAGCTAGTCTTAGAAGATTTATTTGTTCATATACATATATTATAAGTTTATAAGGACATTCTGAGGATTTTTAAACGCTCATTTTTATTGGCTTTAAGCAGTAAAATAATGTGATTTAATTCGTCTGAGGAAAAGATTGGCGATAATAACAATTAGATTTTTTTTAGCCAATGTGCTCCCATTTCATCTACCTTACAAACACTACCATAAACCTTCCATAAAAAAAAAATATATATATATTAAAAATAATAAGTGAAAGAATATAGAAAATTACAATTTTTGATGATAAACTTGTAATTTTATTGACTGGTAAATACCAAATAATTTAAATTAAACTCGATCAAGAATCAAAAAAAAAAAAAAAAAAAAAAAAAGAGAAATTAAAGACTTTAAGTCTAAGATAAGATAGTAAAAGTATCAAAGTGCATTTTAACAACTAGTTTTATCTATATAGAAAACGTAGTTTAGGGAATGTATACCAGGTCAAAGACAGCGAATAAAAGAAACTGGCCGTTACATTTTGATGCTAATTCCGATCAAGGTCAAATCGAACCTAAAAAGAAAAAGATGAATGAATTAGAAACTGGAAACATGGAAAATACAGGGCAATTTAGGGACTTATCTTCCACCATTATAAATCGTCCTGGTCATGGGAACATAGATAATAACCCTCAAACTGCACCAACTGGGATAGAAAATGAGGGTGACAATTTTCTTACACCGGGGACTAGAAGAGTTCAGTCTAGAGATGTGAACCTGGAAGAAAGAGTCAAAGACATTGTAAGCAATGAGGTGAAAGATTTAAGGAAAACAATAGACATTTTGGTCAAGACAGTTCAAAATATGACGTCAAATACCACTAATGTAACTCCAAGGACAGTAAATTTTGATGGACATGTTGGGAATGGGAACATTCCCCAGAGTGATCTTCCGGCTGTTTCGAATGCCATGGCTAGTAGGGAGCGAATACAATCGGGAACTTCATCTTCAACTGGGTATTACTTCCCACCTGTACCGATGAAAGACCATTTGCGCATCCGAGTCGACAAGTTTGGCATCAACTTTGATGGAAACCCGCTAAAATTAACGGTGGAAGAATTCATATTCCGCCTAGAATGTCTCAAAGAACAGTATGACATTCCATGGGACGAAATTCTACGGGATTTTAGGTTGCTTGTATCTGGACCTGCTCTTGAGTGGTTCTGGCAATTGCAGAAGATGAGGAAATTCACTCAATGGGTTCGTCTAAAGGACGCTTTATTGTCCCAGTATCGGGCTACTAAATCGCCTTTTGAGGCCATGAAAGATTTGGTAGAGAGAAAACAAATGGCGAACGAACCTATTGATACCTACTTTCATGCTATGGGACAGCTCCGATCTCGATTACCGCTTCCGATCACTGATGAAGACATGATCAAAATTATTAAAAGTAATGTTAGGGAAAACATAAAAATGGTTATATACCCGATGAGCATTTCCACAGTGGAATTATTACGAGTGGAATGCAAAGATGCTGAAAAGAATTTTCCCAAAAGAGATACAAATGGCACCGATTCCGCGACAGATTAGGCAAGTCAATGAAGTCACATATGATGATTATGAATATGAGGAACCGAATCCTCAAATAGAGGTACCTGATACTGTCTCTGCTATTCGGATGGCACAACAGCACAACAAGGTGTATGTTTGCTGGAATTGTCAGGAATCAGGGCACACATTCGTGGATTGTCCATCCACAGCAAGGTCGTTGTTTTGCTATCGATGTGGTAAGCAAAACACGATAACTCCCAAATGTCCAAATTGTCAAAAGGGAAACTACCGGAGGGGCGTGGAAACTACGGGGGAGACACGTCCGGCAGGAAACCCCGAGAAGTGAATGAGACTCAGGACGAATCGCTGAAACAATCTGACATAAAAGAAGGGCATACATTTAAGGGAAGTGAATCGTGGGCAAAACAGAGACATTATGTTCCACTAGAAGTGAGACAAACAAATTATGAGTTAGTTAGACGGAGAATATTTGGCCAAGATGTTGGAAAGAAAAATATTCCTAAACGCATACTTAAAATAAGGCAGAAGGCCATAGAGAAAAGAAGAGTTAAAAGAGCTGTGGTTGAAACCATAACCCGTGCCGAAACGAGTTTCAAAGACCCCAGACCTTTTGCTAAAATTTATATAAAGGGGAAAGTCCTCGAAGGATTGTTAGATACCGGAGCGTCCATAAGCCTCCTGGGGAAAGGGTGTAGGGAACTACTGGAGGAACTTTCAATCGAAATGAAACCAGTTTTTACCAATATTAGGACTGCGAGTGGCAGGAGACATCGTATAATTGGTAAAATTGAAATAAATGTTGAATTCGATGGTAGCATTAACAACATGGAGTTATATTTATGCCCCGATCTAGATCTAAATCTATACTTAGGTATTGATTTCTGGCATAAATTTAATCTTGCTCCAGGAATCATACCAGTTGAAGAAATAAATATTGAAAAGGTTTTTGAAGAATATAGAGAAACGAGAACGGAACATCGACTAAAACCACATCAGCTTACAGAACAACAAAAACTTAAATTGAATCAGGCAATTGAAGAATTTGATACGTTTGAGAAAATGGGATTGGGTAGAACCAAGCTTGAAAAGCAAGTTATCAAGCTGGTAGAGGGAGCAGTACCATTTAAAGATAGGCATTACCCAATGTCCCCTGCAGTGCAGCAAATCACATATGAGGAAATAGATAAAATGCTGAAACTAAATGTAATCGAAGAGAGTGAAAGCCCGTGGTGTAACCGAACCACGGTGGTAAGAAAACGCGGGAAAAATAGGTTTTGCCTCGACGCGAGAAAGTTGAACAAATTAACTGAAAAAGACGCGTATCCCCTACAAAATATAGATGGCATACTTAGCCGCATTGATGAGACGTACTATATTAGTAGCGTGGATCTCAAATTTGCATTCTGGCAAATAGAGTTAGAGGAGGAGAGTAAGAAATATACCGCGTTTACTGTTCCCGGGCGACCTTTATACCAATTTCGGGTAATGCCCTTTGGGCTATGCAACGCTGCCCAACGTCTGTGTCGCCTGATGGATAAGGTCGTACCAAACCGATTAAAGGAAAATGTGTTCATTTATTTGGACGATTTGCTACTAATCTCGAGCGATTTTGAGCAACACATGGAATTATTGAAAGAAGTTGCACAGTGTCTCAAAGCAGCAAATTTAACTATTGGTCTTAAAAAGTCTCAATTTTGTTTCAGGGAATTGAAGTATCTGGGTTATATAATTGGGGATGGTATGTTAAAAACAGATCCGGATAAAGTGGAAGCCATTATGAAAATAGCAGTACCGAAAAATATAAGAGAAGTTAGAAGTTTTTTAGGCACTGCAGGGTGGTATCGCCGCTTTATAAAGGATTTCGCCACGATATCTGCCCCTTTAACTGACACCCTTAAGAAATCTAAGAAATTCATCATGACTGAAGAAGCAATAAAGGCATTTGAAAGCCTTAAAAGGTCATTGACACGGGCCCCGGTGTTACGTCATGCTGATTTCCGAAAACGATTCTTCATACAGTGTGATGCTTCGGAATACGGTATCGGAGCGGTACTATTTCAACTTAATGATCAGGAAGACGAACACCCTATTGCTTTTTATTCACAAAAGCTAAATTCCAGCCAAAAAAACTACAGTGTTACGGAGAAAGAATGCCTGGCGGCTGTTATGGCTATAAAGAAGTTCCGTCCATATGTAGAATTAATGGACTTTACTGTCATAACAGATCATGCCAGTCTCCAATGGCTAATGAACTTAAAGGATTTAAGTGGTCGTCTCGCCCGTTGGTCGTTACAGTTGCAGGCATACCGTTTCGACATCGTACACCGAAAAGGAAAAGATAATTTAGTGGCAGATACTTTATCCAGACTTCCCTGGATAGAAGAGATCGACATAGAGCAGATATTTGAAGTTAATACCAATGAATTCGACAGTGAAGAATACAGGGATCTGAAAAATGTTATTGAAAATAATCAGAATAGACTTCCAGACTTAAAAGTCGAAGATAACCTAGTGCTGAAGCGGCTAAGACAGGAGAATTGTGAGTTTTTGGGCGAATACGAGTGGAGGATATGGGTTCCAGAACATTTGACTCATCATCTGATCCAAAAGGCCCATGATTCTCCAACATCCGCTCATGGTGGTACACGCAAGACATTGAGCCGTTTAAGGCAACAATTTTATTGGCCTAATATGACGTCGCAGGTTCGTCAATATGTCGGGAAATGCATAACATGCAAAGAAACCAAAAGTGTCAATTATAATACAAAGACTACGTTAGGAAACGAAGTCAAAACAGAAAGACCCTTTCAGAAAATTTATATTGACTTTTTGGGCAAATACCCACGTTCCAAGTGTGGAAACGCATATATTTTTATCGTTGTGGATCATTTTTCTAAATTTGTGTGTTTGAAGGCTATGAGAGAGGCCACCGCCAGTAACGTAATCCGATTTTTAGTGGAGGAAATTTTTAGAAAATTTGGGGTACCTGAGACTGTCCACAGTGACAACGGGGCCCAATTTAACTCTAAACAATTCAAAGACATGATAAAAGTTTACCAAATTAATCACCTTCAAACTGCCCCATATTCACCACAGTCGAACGCCTCAGAACGGGTTAATCAATCCGTTCTGGCGGCCATTAGAGCTTATCTAGAAAATGATCATAGAGACTGGGATCTCTATCTGTCGGAAATCGAGTGCGCTCTCCGAACCTCGGTACATGCCGCGACGGGCGTATCACCATTTTTTGCCCTATTCGGGTACCATATGTACACTAAAGGTTCGGACTACAAGTTAGCAACAAAGTTAAAATCCCTCACTGAACATGAAATTCTTCATTTGGACAGGAACGACCGACTTATGCTTATAAGAGATAAAATAAAGCAAAATATGCACAAAGCCTATGAAGCCAGTGCCCAAAGGTATAATCCAAGAGCTAGACTAACCAAGTTCGCCCCAGGTCAGGAGGTTTATCGCCGCAATTACTTGCTAAGCGACTTCCAAAAGAATTTTAATGCAAAATTTGCTAGAAAGTTTAGGAAATGTAGGATAGTGAAACCTGTTGGGAATAATATGTATGAGCTCGAAGACCTTCAAGGTAAATCTTTAGGCGTGGCTCATGCTAAGGACATTAAAATGTGATGACATGACTGTGATATGCCTTTTTAAAAATGGGGGGAGGCTGTAATAGCTTTATACTTATGTGCAATATAGGATAAGTAGATGTCTTGTGAACGTCCTATATACGTATAAGAAAGTTAATAAAAACAAAATACTTAAAGCGAATAAAAACATGAAACTTACCCCCTGAACGATTTGAATCGGTTCTATCAAACAAAAAAACAGCCATTGCCATTATCCAAAACCAGGGGATGAACTCGTGGAAATCTGAGGAAAGTAAGCAAAAAGTAAACGTTCTTAGAAATAACTTAAAAGGGGCCAACACTTCCCTAATAATGCCCGGCTTTCAGGGTGTGGGAATTCCCCACGTTGAGTCGATTGGGGAAATATATATAAAAATCTTAACTGGACGCTCCGCACACCGTCTATCCCTTCGCCAGCTCGGCATAACCGGAGTTTTGTTGCGGGTGGTCCACTTAGAAAAACCTTCTGTCCTCTCTGTAAAATTGTTATTTATGTGGCGTTTCCACTGCACTTGATTCGCTCTCTATTCGTTGTTTGACCCTTAACTATGAAAAAACTACCTAATTCTTCACACAAAATTTCCTGAGCGAACACTCATATTTGTACGTTGTTCAATTCAAATCACTCTCAGAACAACGAAAAAATATGTCCCATCCCTAACAAATGAGAGCATTTATCGAAAAAATAAATTATGACATTTAAAATTAAAAATAGAAAAATTTAATGAAAATTTAAAAATTTTTGGGAAGACTGAAAATTATGTATGAAAACTACAATGTTGAATGGCGTATGTACATTCAAACGAAAGTAAATTTTGTTTTCTCTCTCATTCGAAGTACGCATTTGGTCCACGAGATGAAATTTCCACAGAAAACTGCAAACAAAAGAGGCAATATTTTCAAAATGTTTCTATTGGCAGAAAAAATGTTTGACAAGTGTCTCTCCAGTAGAATTTAAAAATGGAAAAACACAAAAATAAGTTCAAAATGTCAAGATTTACACAAAAAGTTGAAAACGTAAATGAAAATTATAAAATTATTGATATAATACATATTTGGGAGAAAAACAATCATTTCTTTTATTCATATTAGTGAGAATTTAATGTATTTTAGTATAAATTCCCATTAAAATCAAGAAACAAAATTTTTGAGAAAAGGAATTATTTTACTATGAATTACGAATCGTGCCGTATGAACGGGTTAATTCGTGTACCTAATTCTGAGAGCGAACAACGTTGTTCGGTTTCCAATGGAAACATGCTATTACAAATGTCAGCTGTCATAGAACAGTTGGTGTTCGTATGGCGTATCTACACCGCCCGTACTAAATATTACTTGCTCCCATGTAAGGTGTCGTCCCTGAATGACGACGGGAGAGAGTGAGTTTTACGCCATATCTCAAATTTCCCAAATAACGTCAATGATGGCGGAAGAAAGAGAAATTATATTGTATTAATACCAATATTAAATGCATTATTGGAATTATGTTGCAGTTGGAATATGCGCATATAAAAGCAAAGTCAGCACGAAGAAGCTTTCTTTTTATTTTGTGAACGGTTTCAGTGCGAGCGTAATTTTATGCGTGTTTCCAAAACAATTGTAACAGAATAAAAAAAAATAAAACAAGCAAACTATTCATAAAGAGTTAAATAAAGTTTAAAGGCATGATAGCCAGCGAACACTTCCAAATAAAAAGGATTGTGAAAAGTTCAAGAGCAATACGAAAAATTGGACTGACGTTCGTAGCTGCTTAAAGAAAACCTTAGTATCTGAACGCTGATAATTTCTTAAAGATACGCTCGGCAGCTAGCGATTGTCAGCTGCATCCTGTGGTCACCAAACACCCTGTGTATGCCAACTGTGCCAGTGCCTAAGATCAGCTGCTGAAAAGTGGACTCTATCCGAAATATATTTCAACACTGCAAAATTCATCATATGGTCGTGATTTTATGTCAGTTTTCTCGCTGAGAAAGGAAAACTAATATACCAGTGGCCCAGGAAGAGTTCAGTATAACAGCAAGGTAACAAAGTGTTATAAAACGATAAACATCCTTATACTTTGGAAACTATAGCCGGCCGTTAGGCGCAGAAGAAAACAACCCAAGTTTGCCTTTATTAATTTTTATTTTTTTTGATACTTTTATTATATTTTTTTTTGATACTTATTCGAGGAAACAATTTACGTAAATCTTAGTCTAAGTTTTTTTATTTACATTTTTGTGTTATTATAGTATTTTTGTTGTGATTGTTTTTTCTTTATTTTTTTATTTATTGTAAGGGACTATATATCAAGGGCAGGGGTCTTATAAACCGTTTTTTTTTTGTCGTGAGACGTAGATGGTCTCGGAAATATTATATACTTAATTGAGCTCGATTAGGTAGGCGTCTTAACATAGTCGGTAACTTTCTGGCGAAATTTCAAGCCAGTGAAAAATACCCAATCCCCTTAGTATAGGTCCTGATAGGGAATAAATTTAATTTTTGACAATATAAGAAAGCAAATCTAATAAGAAGGTCCTTTCGACTTTGTAATTTCGATATTCAGCTTCCTAATTTTAATGTCCGAATAAAAATGTGAATCGTATTATAAGAATTAAAATGAATATTGTTTGAGAAAAAATTATTGGAAGGATTATGGTCGAGTGGGGTGGTGAATAGAGTAAGGGAGTCAATGGGGTCCACATAATGAAAAATAGGGTTTCGTGGACCATGGTAGGGTGGGCCGAGTGGGGGTTCCGAACAGCAAGGGACCTTAAAATCCTCAAGGAATGTTCTCTGTGTGTTTTGTTTTAGAGTAAATATTTGTATTCGTTCACCCATGAAATAAATGATGTTGGACCCGAAGTTCGTTTGGCGGTTGAGAACCTACCTGAGAGTCTTGAGCAGCCGGAAGGCCAAACCGATACTGTAAGAGCGGTCATAACAATACTTAAACTTTCACAGTAGACTCCAGCCCCCGTTCCACTTTCCATCTTTGAACCATCAGTATAGACAGCTATACCGTTAAAAGGTGGAGTGCCACGGGGCCAGATATCCCTGTTTGGTATGCGGATGTCGAGTAATTCAAAGCTGTGCCTAGGGAGTATATAGTCACTAGCTATAGCCTGATTACTTACGTTCTCCACATACTTAAGAATGACAGAGTGTCCGATGGATTGATTCCGCCATTGTCCCAGTTCATTGAGTGGCAGGGCACACCTAGCAGCTAGTTCCTCTACAAATAAGCCTAGCGGTTTTAAATTATGTAGGGTATCTAGATCGGATTGTGGCGTGCTCCTGACCGCACCTGTGATTAGTAGCGATGAAACTCTTTGAAGTTTATCAATATTCTTGCAGAGGGTGGTTTTCCTTAAGGAATGCCACCAAACAAGTCCTCCATATGTTAGGATTGGTCGGACGATTGACTCATATATCCATCGGATAAAATGGGGTTTAAGCCCCCAACTCTTTCCTATGGAGTTTTTGCAGGAGTCAAGTGCATTTAAGCCCTTCTTCGCTCGCTCCTCGATATTCCTCTTCCAGCTTAGTTTCTGGTCTAGTATAGTACCGAGATATTTTGCTTCCGAAGAAAGACGACGCATGCTGTAGCATAGCGGGGAAAATGCCATCTGGACCCGGTGACTTGAAAGGTTTGATATCTCACTTAGCGATTTATGGTTTTTGTAATGTTTAATTACTAAATTTCTCACTTCAACAGTGGTTTGTCCTCGTTGTCTTCCCATTTCACACAACACGTGGAAATTTGTGATAAATTAGCTTTAAGGGATTTCCCCGAATACATTTTCCAGCAATCGTGCTAAGTTGGACGCAGTTCGAAACAGGGCTGCCGTATAAATTTAAACCATACGAGTTTAGTTTTTGCATAGAAACTTGGAGAGTTTCAGTATAAATGTCATTATTTTATTAAATAAAAACAGTAAACTTTGGTTCTACGGCTAGTTCTAGTACCCTTTAAACATATATTGCATGAAAGAAAATTGTTTGCTAAGTGTACGAGTTTGGAGCTTGGAGCTAATGTAGATTCAGTTTTGAATAGAGCTATACATACCAACCCATGGTACAATAAGGAGGTAGAACAGCTTCGTAAACTTCAGGAATACAGCCCTGAGGCTATGCCCGCTTCCTGTCAGACTCATCCAAAATTATATACAATTTCATTTTTTCATATTTTTCCTCATTTTTAGAATGAGTTAAATAGCGCGAAAAATGATTAAAATGTCTGGATTTTTCTCTTTAAAAATATGATCCTAACTGTTCAATCTTTCAATTTCATGTCTATACTTGTTAAGAGCTTTCATGCACGAGCCGCAATTCACGTGTCTTCCAATCATTGGTTTTGAAAATATATATTTTTTTTCATTTTTCAAAACAATTAATATATACACAAAATTGACAGAGGTCGGGCACACTTAGAAAAAAATTGTAATCAGCTGCTAGCTCTACCTTATCTTTTTATTGTACCATGTACCAACCTATTTTAGGTATATATTGAATTCTAAAATTATCTATTTGTCTAAAATAAAAATCTTTCACTTCAAAAATATTCTGTTTTTATTGCAGAATGCAGATACAGTTATAGCTAAAATTCCACTTCCTTTCACAAATCTTCTTGCGTGTATCCATGACTGTGATTTAGTATGTGCTCCTGGCAATGATGGATCTCTCGACTGTTACAGGTAATTTACATTCGTTTACTAATATTTCGATATCCATTACTTTCAACTATTCCTAGTGAAGGTTGTGAGTTCGAGACTTGGTGTTGCCACACAAAGAGAAACATAGTAAAATACGTTACTTGTTGTTGACAAAGTTAAAAAAGATAAATGTGAAAACAAAACTAAAACTGATATCAAAATAAAAACAAATGGCAATAAGTGGAAATACTTACTTTCGCTCTTTAGTCGTCAAAGAATAAGTACTCATTTCAATAGAAAATAAGTGCTTAGTTCAATCGACATATTTTTCGATATCGAATGAGTTACATACTATATTGAATCGATTTGGTGCATAGAAATATGTATTACAAAATTAATTCACACTTTTTATAAAAGCTTTAGACAAATAATAGATATACAATTTCAGCGATCAAATTCAATTAGTTTCCATCAAATACCGGAGTGCTATGAAAGTTTTTACTCGACCGAAATAATTTGGGTATTTTACTTTGAACATGTGTTTGTGTTGAAAATAAAATATAGTACAGCATATAGCATTAACCAATAACTTTTCAGATTGTTTGACGGTGTGCATGTCGCTATTAAAGGGGATTTGCGAGGCAAAGGCAATTTCATCAAATCAAGTGACAATGGGTAAATCGACTTATTTTTTATTTGAAATGGAGTTTTATTCAACTAATATTTACATTTCAGCTGCTGGATTATTACTGGTCTGTACGAGAAAGAATTTCAAATATTTTCGTCAGAAAATTAGAAATTTCATTAGTTTTAATTTTTATATATGTAGCTTTATTTATCGAATAAAATTTGTAAGGTTTGTTTAAATAATTAACTATTTACAAAAACAAATTAAATAATTACGTCTAATAATATATATATATATACTTTTTGCACTTATACACAATTGATTTATATTTTACCAAATGTAAAACGATAATATACATACAAAATTTAAATCAAACATAATGGAAGAGTAAAAATAAATACAAAGTAGGGAAGATACAGAAGGAAATTAAATAAAGGAATAGCTCCCCTATTTAATTAAACGTCAACAATAAACATCATCACATACATAATTGAAGGTTAGCCTTTTACATGTTGAAGTGGGCTTTTAAGAATTGATTTGTTAAAGATAACTATGAGAAAATGGATTTTTTGATTTTGTATACAAATTTCTAATACCGAAGGGAAAGGGTCTGCACACACATGATATATAAAGTTTATGCATACGATGAGTTTTTTTCTTTTAATGTGGAGTGATAAAAGTGAGCATTTTCGAATTTATATGAAATTGTGATTAAAACATATTAGAACAAAAAAGATTTACAATACAACATACAGAGATGATTTTCTATTTCGGTCTATACATACATTATATATTTTTTTTCATAATTGGTATATACTAATTACATCATTATTATTTCCTAACATTTCTGTATCATTCGTGCCGTCTAATGTTACAATAACTATAGTAGTTTTTTTTCTATTTAATCGTAATTGTGTTAAACAAAATATTGTTTAGTACATTTGTTATAACGAATTCAATAGTAGAACGACACGATGAAAACACTTTATTTTATTGGGTTTGTTGTATTAATTAATCAATCAAAAAGGCAAAACAATGTTTGAATGAAGTGCTTTCGCGTGTTATTCTTATAGGTGATTGTTATGATAATAAATTCTGTATGCCTGCCGAATTAATTGAATAAAACAGTGTTTGGATCCTCATTATCCATTTGTTTGACATGTCGTAGTACATCCTTTTTCGTGATAACTCCCAACAATCGACTTAAATTAAAAGGAAAGCGAAACTTGTGGTTATGGAAGAAGCTGGAGAAATGATTTGGTTTACTTACCCATTGTGAGTGACCAGGGTTTGTCTGAGGCCTAATTTTCTAAACATGTCAACAACAGTCTCCATCGGTGTCTGGTCGGTTACGGTAATTGGGGCCATATCGAGAATCTTCTTCAACTTTAATGGTGGTGGTCCCAAGTTTTGTGCAGGCGCTGTCGATGTAAATAGCACAACTGACTGACCGTTGATACCCTCCACGAAACGTTTTGCATTTCCTATAAATGTCAGTTCATGGTCATTAAGATGTCGCTCCTAGTCATACACTCGAAATTAATTGGACTTACCTAAGGCCAAGTTGAGATCTCTGCGCAATACGAAACCGACAAGGTACTGATTCTCTCTTGACACTACTACGGGATAGCCGTTGTGTTCCGTTTCCTTCAACAGTGTTTCAATATCATCAACTGTCATTGAGTCCTGAGTTATAACATTCAATGTTTCATTCCGTCTGAAAACAAAATCAACAGTCATTTTCATAAGCAAGTTTTAGTCGAAGAATAGAATTCCAATATAACTACTTTGGTTGCATTACGTCCGCAGCTAACGTTGTATGAGCAAATTCTTCCTTGCTGTCTAGGAAAGGATAGCCGTTCAGAGCAATATGAGCATCATAAATACCCTAAAATTCAGTATGTGTGTTACATTAAGACGTTTAAATCTCGAATTTATAACTCAATTACCTGTCGACCCAGTGCATCGCCCACCCATTTTGAGGCCATAGCTGCGGCCATTAATGGTACTATGTAACCAACACCCCCTGTCAATTCGAACATTATAACCACCAACGATACCGTCATTCGGGTTACGCCACCTAAGGTAGCTGCAGCTCCCACCATAGCATATAAACCAGGCGTTATCAGATTATTGCCTTGCACACATTCTCCAGTGAAAAACCACACATTTGGGTAACTGTACGCGAATTGCTCAACAGCTGTAGCACAAAAAACGAAATAAAATGTATCAAAAATTATTCATGTTGAAATGACGCCATACATACCAATGCCCACTATTCTACCCATTATTGCCCCAAGCAGAAGAGAAGGTATAAAAAGACCGGCAGGAACTTTCATGCCAAAAGTAAAAACGGTTAAAGCTAATTTCAAGAAAAATGTCAAAATCAAAAGGCCAATCGCCCGATAGACACCAGGACCCAATTGTGTAACCTCTATGGACGAAGATGCGCCATTGGTTATGTTCATGCGTGTATAATCACTGCAAATTTAATAGAATTATACCCCGTATTATGTCATATATATATATAATATTGCATAAACTATTAATTCTTACCATAGAGGATTGGAGACATCTCCCGGCGAACATTGACTAAAGAGAAGATATATAAGTTCATTCATATTCATGCGGGTGAACGGATTCGGATAGCAAATTATGCCAGTGACTAGAGTGACAACCAGAACTTCCATTACTGGATATTGTCCCAATTTACTGAATTTCCTAAAACGACACCACCACAAATTTGCCTTTATGAAAAGTGTGCCAATTATACCCTGAAAGTAATATAAAAATAAACGTATTGTTGTATGGTAGCAGTTGAATTACCAGTGCGTATATAGTACTTACCCCCATAATACCCAAAAATACAAATGGTATCAATTCAAAGAAAATCCATGGTTGATTATATTCGACGAAGAAAAGAACAGAATGTTCATTGCCAAAGGGCGTCAAGGAACGCAGAACAAAGGCTGCAATCAATGCGCAGAAAAAGGAACGCCATAGTGTCTTCAACGGAAAGTAATATGAGACTTCCTCCAAGGAAAACAAAACACCTCCGATGGGCGCCCCAAAAGCAACAGAAACGCCTGCCGCTGCAGCTGCTGACAAAATTTCACGTTTTTTCGCCTCGTTGCGGCCGTATTTGGGAAACAAGTGTGAAAATATGTTTCCAATACAACTGGCAATGTGAACCATTGGACCTTCCTTGCCCAAAGTCAACCCGGCTGAGACGGAAAGCATGAGACCCACCGATTTTATAAGCAAGGTCCACTTTCCCAAATAGCCTCTTATAATAAAACCGGATAAAATTGTTTTTATTTCCGGTATACCAGATCCACAGGCATAGGGAGCAAACATACGCACAAGAGAAGCACTAAGCGCAGCAAACAGCAAGGCCCAGAGAACATACCAAATATAGGACACGATGTACGCTCCAGTCCCCTCTCGACTTAAGCCAAAAACTTGAGGCCATGTTTTCCACTAAAAATAGAGAATTGGGTTTTTGTAATTCTATTTTTTGCGGTTCCATTGGGCTTACCGTTGAACAATTTCCCTCTTCAAATACCGACTGTTTTGAAGGCCAACAACACTGCTCGCGATTAAACCAAAACGCTTGCGGGCAGATTCCATGTTTTAAATCGGACATCCAACTAGCTCCAATATCAACCATGCCAGCTACGCAACCCGCTGCAATACCAACCAGCAGGACGCACAGCCAACCGGACCAAGCATCATGTGCTCCTTTCACTAAATCCCACAACGAATCTTGTCGCTTCTTAACAATATAACGATGACGCATGCGATCCCGTGCTATGTCGCGTTGCCAGTCTATCGTATGAAAATCATCATATTGGCCAATGCCGGGTATATCATCATGTGGTTCTGTAAGTATGTAAATAGTTTAGAAAAAATGACACTACAAACACTAGCATATATAAAATACCTGTAGATCCGTAGAATGACAATCCTATTAAAAAAGACATGAAAAACAAAAGGTTAACAAACATTACAAACACAACATAATATCAACGAGAACACTAGTTCGAATCCACCGAACACTCTAGATATTGTCAAGCTTCTTAATGTTATTCAAATACACAAAAAATGTGAGTCGAGGAAATAAAATTGTAATTGTTTTATATGTACAGGATAAGATTAAAAAACTGCAGACTGCTGTCATTTCTTAGCCACACATCAGACAGCTGTTAAAACTATTTCAGTGATACCTCATTATATTGTTTACAAGCCTACAAAAGCATTTTGGTGTAAATTCTCCAGAAATGAAGTTATTTGTGGTGGAATTCAAGCGTGATTTCTTTATATTTGGCTTGAAAACCACAAGAGGCTATCGTTAGAGCACTCCAGCATTTAAATATGAATAAATCTTTTGTGTCTCGTACCATCGCTCGTGGAAGTGGACGGAAAACCAGCAACATCAGCAGAAATGGTTCGAAAAGTCCATGCGACTTGATCGAAACCCGCGCCGAAGTGGCCGAATTATTGAAAAATGAGCTCGGGGTAAAGCCATTGAAATAAAAAAATGCAAGAACTTACACCGCAACAGAAAGAAAATAGACTCAAAAGAGCTAAAGAGTTGCTACGCTTGGCCGAAAGTAGTGAACTGCCGAGTTTGGTTTTGTCCGATGAAAAAAAATTCGTTGTCCAGCAGTTTGTAAACAAACAAAATGATCGTGTTTGCTTGCCAAAAAGGTCAGCTGAAAATGTATCCCTTCGGTTGGCCACCAGAACTCAAGCGCCGGCCATGGTGATGGTGTGGGCCGCCATAACAGCCCATGGTCGCTCTTCGCTAGTATTCGCTAGTATTATTCGACCGTGTCATCAAAATAAATGCAGAATATTATCGCGAAAATATTCCGGAGAGTGTATTAGAGCCTTCGGCACGCAAACATTTTGGCCGAAGTCCTTTGACGTTTCAACAGGACTCAGCACGCGCCTCCCAAAAATGGTTACAAAATGAGTTTCTTCGCTTCATTCCCAGCGCACAATGGCCAGCAAAATCTCCGGATACCAATCCGTTGGACTATTGTGTCTGGAGTATTTTGGAAAGCAAGGTTGCCACTAAAAAATAACAAAGTGTCGATCACCTCAAGCAAGCGCTTCACCGGGAATGGGCCAAAGGTAACCAATTCGAACAAATCTAAACTTATTCTAAAATTTGATGTTATTTCCGACATTTTTTACTTTCATTCAATAAAATTTAATAAAAAATAAAAATTATGGCGTTGACTTTGTTGCATTTATTTTATCTCACCCTGTATACATTTACTGAAACAGAATTCTATGGTATATGTCTTAATTTAATTTTAAGAGAATTTTGGATATGGATATTTGAATTCATTTTTATTTTGAATTAAAAAAAAAACGAAGACTAATTGGAACAAAATATTTACTTTAATATAGTTAATCTTCATGATATTCGCAATCATTTAAAATAAATCAATCTGTTTAAGACTTAGTTGTCAAGTTATGATCTCTATAAAACTGTTGAATAAATGATGAGACATAATAAATATATTATCAACGTCAGTTTCCACTTAACAAATCTATACTAATTTCTAAATACATAGATGGATTGTATACATAAGGATAGAGAGGGGAGGAGGACTCACAAAAATCTTAAATTTCTTCATCGCCGACGGAAAAAAGTGTTTTCAATAACATAGAGACAAATATTTGCATAAAAATCACGTGCCATTTTTAACCAATTAACAAGGAAAACAAGATAATATATACATTTTTAATTCGTGTTTCACATTATCTTACCATCCAATGAATCTCCAAACGCACTGTGTGTTGGCACATGTTGATGTGTACGTTGATTTTGATGACTATTACTAACAGATTGTTGTTGGTGATGAAGGTAATCTCCGCGCTCTCTTTCCATATCAGAATTGTCTGCTGTACTTGTACGACTATATGTGTTAAAGTGATTAGAAACTTCGCCGGGACTTGATCGCGGAGTAATGTCAATCATTTCATCATCATCTTCTGGCGTAGTAAGCGATGTCGTTGCTGCACTGCTTGATGGGGCTGCTAATGGATGGTCGGAATTACTAGTTTCGCCAGCCGTATGACCGTTAGACTAAAATAGAAATAGGTACTCAAATATAGTAACTCTAAAAGAGAAAATTATTTCTTCGAAGCATATTGTTCGGCAAACTTGGCTGAGTGCAGTGTGAAATATTTTCAATTGCACTCAAAAATAAAATATGTATATAATGAATAAGACTAAATTATTCATAACAGGATTTGAGGTTTCAAGTGACGTCAAAAATGTATATAAACCACAAAAATGTTAAATGTTACATTGGTTTACATTGAAGCCCTATTATGGATATTTGGATATTTGTTTACAGCATACAATACTATTAAACATACATACATACTATTACACTTCGATTAAACCATGGTAGAATAAGAGGTAAAACAACTTCGTAAAACTACTAAAATACAGTGCTATGACTTTGCCGCTTTCTTTAATTATTAATAGTTTTCCTCAAAAATTCGATCCAAACGTTTCAATATTTGAATTTCATCGCAAAACTCGGTTGTAACTTTAGTGCTCTTTTAAAACTTTCCTAGCAATTATTTGGTCAGCGCATCGCTACGGACCATGTTCTTCAAATGTTTTCCTGACATTTTTTTAATTTTATTTGAAAGTTGTTGGATATATTTTGAATTTATTGGGGTTCCGACAATCAGCACAATTTCCAATAAAATTTAATAAATAAAACACGAAATATTGGTTATGGAAGCACTGACGGAATTGAACGAAAGCTTGATATAAAATGTCACTACAGTGTGGTAATATGAATAATTGTTCCTGATAATAGAAAAAAAGGGTTGTTACTCATGGCACAAATACAGAAGGTACAACAAAGCTACCTCTCAAGTACAATTTTTTGGGGCCCTATTCTGTTAGGACGTATACACATTTTGGGAAACTGGGTATTGTTGTACGAATCGATGGGTATTATGAAGGCTTGATATGATCAAATAATTTTAAAAATGATCCCATATCACAATGTGCGCGAATATCTCGTAAAATTAAACAGAAATCAAATGTCTCTCAAACAATTATAGTGAAATTTATGCTAGCAAGTGTCTATTGACATAGTTACACTAATCACATCTTATCAGGTGACCATGGTGGTTTACATAAAGTAAAGATACAGCTATGTAGCAGCATAGGCTGCAGTACCCATTACAAACTTCGAATACGAAATTTGAAACAATTCTGGTAAATAATGTCACTAAGATCATCAACATACCGAATATCTGAAGGTACCGTTATATGGGGGATATACGAAGACATGGACCTGCATACGAAAGTTTTAGGCATAAGCTGTAGCATGGTACAACAAAGAGGTAAGGTAGAGCTACCAGCTGATCACAATTTTTTTCTAAGTCTGCCCGACTTCTGCCAATTTTGTGTATGTATTTATAACAGAATAAAAACAGAATGTTTTCCAAATCAATGTTTGAAAGACGCATAAATTGCGAGACGCGCATTAAAGCTATTCGCCAGTTTTGCTATGGAATTAAAAGAAAATCCAGGCATTTCATTCATTTTTCGCGCTGTTTAAGCAATTTTAAAAAATGAGGAAAAATACTGAGTAAATCAAAGCAATTTGTTCCATACAAATTTGACAGGAAGCGGGCATAGCGTCAGGGCTATATTTCTGTAGTTTTACGAAGCTGTTCTACCTCCTTATGGGCTGTAGTACCCATTACAAACTTTGAATACGAAATTTGAAACAATTCAGATAAATAATATCCCTAAAATTATCGAAATACCGAATATCGGGAGGTACCGTTATATGGGGGCTATATGAAAACGTGGACCGACATGCCCCATTTGCGAACTTGACCTGCCTTCTTAAAAAATACACATGTGTGCAATTTGTTCGGAAGATAGCGAGATTACAACAGACAGACGGACATAAATCGCTAAATCGTCTTAGAATTTTACGCTGATCCAGATAATATACACTTTGTAGGGTCTATCATGCATATTTCGAGGAATGACAAAGCTAATATACACTCCATAAAATGGTGGAGTTTATAAAAAATTTAGACAATCACTCAACATCTCTCATCGACATTTTTAAAATGTAAAGCCACAATTTACATTTTTAAATATAAATAAACATATAAGTCCGAAAGGCCGGATTCAATTCCCGGGCTAAGCCCGGGATCCACTTACCTAATATAGACAATATGAATATGAAAGTACCTATGCAACATATGGTCACAGGGTTTGAGTCACCCCCAAAAAGTTATGGTGGTCAACAAAATTGATGGCAAATTAGGCTTAAGTTGGATTTAGGGGCTATGCTCGGATTGACCCAAAAGTTTTTACCACGTGTAGGTCTTTATAACCTAATTACGGATATACCTATGTAACAAGTGGTCATATGATGTGTTAGTATCAATCAGTTCCAAAAAAATTTATATTTTTGTATCGAAAGTTGAAAACTGACCTATTACGGAGTATTAAAAACTACATACTTCATTGGAGCCTACACTCTGGCCTTTCCAAAATGGTGCCATATGTATTGATTTCTCTTGCAGTTCCAAAGATATTAGTGTTGCAAATCATGAAATTGAGGTCCACTAATATGTATCTTACATTTGTAGCTTTGTTTTGAAGATATTGACTTTAAAGTCGAATTCCGGCTGCTTCCAAAAATCATAAGGTTTAGAGAAACAATAAATCGCGTAGCAGGTGTTGGACATATCCCAGAGGAGAAAACCTCAAGACACGGCCAAAGGCCGGCTACCTACAAAAATTACAATGTTTAGAAATACTATGGATTGCGTAGTCGGTGTTGGACATACCCTAGAGAAAATCTCAAGCCGCGGTCGAAGGACGGCTACGTAAAGGAACTTAGATACATATTAGTGGAGAAAATGTCAATTTCATGATTTGCATCACTAATATCTTTGGAAATATAAGAGATAAAGGCAAGAATATAAGTTATCATGTAGCATGTAGATCTTAATACCCCATAATGGTTCCATTTTCGACTTTTTAGGGTTTATTCAAAAAGTACTGGTATAAAAATACCAATTTTCTTGCATTACTCCGAAACCGGTTCCAATAATTCTATCATATGACAACTTGTTGGAGAGGTATTTCCATAAGCTTTCAAATGATACATTTTGTAGATAACGGTTTTATAGAACCGGATAAAACCCGGATTTTTTTTAATTTTCGGGTCAAGTAACCGGGTAACAGGGCATATCCCCCACGACAAAAATACTTTTCCTTAATCAGGTTAAAAATAAGCACCTGCGGTAAAAATTTCAAAATGATCCGAACCCCTAAACTCAACTTGCTCCCGTGCATAGCTTCTAAACTCACGTTGCTCCATATCACGTACCACCTGTCTTATTTATTTATAAAAGATAAATTCTAGCTTCAAATCTTAATTTTTTTATATGTTTAAATCTATTACAAATTGTATGTTTATATGTTGGAGGGTGCGGAGGATCGGATAAAATGGTCTTAATTTTCTATATTATGTGTACTATTTTCACTGCCTAAAATTATTTATCATTTTTTTAATTTAAAAATAATAAAATCTAAGCTTTTAAATTGCGAAATGGAAAATTCTATACCGAGCTTCATTGAAAGCCCATACGTCATTGTGATCAGTGTAACAGCGACTACCTATGATAAAAAAAAAAGTTGCACTCACCTTTTTCAACACAGACTGGTACGCCGTTATGTAGCTATTTCCCTCTGCAGCAATTTCACGATTACCCTTCAAAGGAAACTTTTCCATAACGATTGGTATCAATCAATTCATATCTGTAAAGTAAAAGTGGGCGGATGTAAAAGCGTACTTGACACACACACTATCTGTGCTTTGGTTTCGTGGAATCACTTTTATACTTTTTTGTGTAAATGTTAATAACAATTATCTATAGGAGGCAAAGGAATGATTGCTTCTTTCGGACTCAATTATTCATCACTCAATCGCTGAATTTAATTTATTTTAATTCAATAAACATATCGAAGGGGACATTACATTACACCCATACACAAAGACTATGCATACACATAGGTACATATGTATGTACGTATGAAACGTCTGCTGCTATTGTTCATTCTATTAATGCAACAGAAATAATGTACTCCTTGCACTGATTTTGTATCGGAAAATGCATCACGAATTTGTAGTCAAATTGTAATTCCTCTTCTATTAGAGATAGGTAACCTATTAAAACGTACACATAATAATAGCGAAAGAAACAATCGTGGATTTATTATTATTTTTTCTTTTTGCAAAATATGTAACTACCGAAAATTGTAAAATTGTATGACGTGCTAAAAGAGTAAAAAGTTAGTAGAACAAAAAAATTGTCAGAAAATGTCAAAATTCGCTCTAATTATTGCCTAACGTGTCGTAACGTTAACAAGAGTTTATTTTCGATTTGTTGTCGAACTTTTTCTAACCATATACCCGTGTTTTACACAGACAAGTATTGAATACTTAAAGTATGTTTACATATAATAAGGCCAGTGAATTGCAGTTGTCAATGTCAATTGCATTGCGTATACATAAAATTGGATATCAATTACATTTTAATTAATGTTCTTAAGTGAAGTGACAGTTAAAATGTCCTATATTTTTAATGTGTAGAAAGTGTTTTTATGTCGTAATTTACGTAAGCATATGGTTTACATGAAAGTGTCATATTTTATTTTAAGAGAAAATCGCGAAATATGACTGGAAAGTCACGAGAAATGTGCAAATAGGTCTTTTGGAAGACTTTGAAAGCCAGGAATAGTTATCTATACATATAAATTATGCAGCAAGGGAGAGGTATAGTTATCGGAAAGTGTCCATCAGTTGTGGAGATCTGGATTCTTATAGTGTCAAATAGACTCTTAAATATGCAACAGTTGGTTTTGTTTACTTTTTATTATTTTTATTTTTTCAACAAAATTCATATATTGGGAGAACAAGCCTATTATCGTCGAAAATATGCAATTATTTTGCAACCAAATTTGAAATAATTTTAAATTATTGTACTTTTTATTGAAAACAAAACAAACACATACACAAAATGTGTATGTTTCCTTATACAACGACAATCGGAGATTCAAATTCAACAATTTTAACGAATTTGACTAATTTTTTATTAAAAAATTTCTGCTTTAAATTTGGTTTAACAGTTCATTGTCCCAGCAGCTGTGTCGATGCGACTACCTGTATTCTTCTACTATGAAATATAAATATCTTCTCATATTTAAAAAAAAAAAAACATTTTTAACATTTGAACACATCAATGTTTCCAAGCGTTGAACCTGAATTATTCTTCCATGGAAATATGCCTCACTGATATATTTATCGAAAGCAAAAATCTAAATCGATTTACTTGCGACTCAAAAGTAGAATTTACATTTCGATTACCGACAGTCGCTAAATTCGACTGAGAGATACATTGCTTCATTTCTGTTTACATTCTGTCTTTGGAAGGTTTGAAAAGTTTTGTCGCTTGTCGGGTACTGTGAGGGATGTTTTAGTTGATTTTAATTTATCCATCATATTATTGGAAAAAAAGATCGGCAAAAATGTCTGGATTTGTTGCAGTTCATACAGGTATTTTACAAAAAAAAAAAAAGAATAAAAATTTGAAATAAAAAATATAACAGAATTGTTTGAAAAATTGTTGCAAAATTTTCTTCTTTGTGTATGTATATGTGTTTGTTTTGATCTTTAGGTGCGGGCAATATACTTGATGAAACCAAGTACCAGCGGGTTATTAAGGAAGCTTGTATAGCGGCGACAGATATTTTAAAAAATGGGGGCTCTGCTATGGATGCTTGCGAGGCGGCCATCATTCGTCTTGAGAATTGCGGGAATACTAATGCTGGTTTCGGATCAAATCTGTGTTGGGACGGATACGTCCAATGCGACGCCTCCATTATGAATGGTTCAAATTTACATTTTGGTGCATGTACAAATGTATCGACTGTCAAAAATCCCATACAGTTGGCAAGGATGTTATGCGAGGGCCAAGAAAGAATGCTTTCAATGGAGCGGATACCGCCAATGATAATGGCTGGAACTGGGGCCGAGAATTTTGCCGAAGAAATGGGATGCGCTATGATAGACGCAAGTGCAATGATATCGTCTAAAGCAAAATTTACATACACCCATTACAAATCGAAAGTGGGCGATGGAGCAAAAGTCACAAGCACCAAAATAGAAAGTAATCCTGAACAGTCGGAAACAGTCGATGCTGCTGAAGTCAGTCCTCTGGACACTGTGGGAGCTGTTTGCGTTGACAGTACAGGCAATTCAGCAGCTGGATGTAGTTCCGGTGGACTGATATTGAAAGTTCCAGGACGTGTGGGACAAGCTGCAACATACGGGGCCGGCTGTTGGGCCACCGACACCGATGATCTATCCGTTGCGACGTGCACTACTGGCAATGGAGAATATCTGATGAAGACTTTTCTTGCTAAAGAAATATGTACTGACTTATTTACCTCCGATTGTGCCGTTACCTCTCTGCACAAAACTTTCAAATCGAAGTTCCTCGAATCGCCATTTCTTCCAGCAGATCAATGTCTTTACGGTGGAGCCCTGTCGCTAATTTATTATCCAAAAAATAACTGTGGAGAGGTCTTATGGAGTCATACAACCAAGTCATTCTGCGTTGGATACATGTCCACACAACAAAAAACGCCAAAAGTTTGTGTCAATTATTATTACTGTCAATATTGGTACATGTTGTTATTGTTTTGTTTGTTTCTTTTCCCCCTTTAGTTTGTCTATTCACCATTGCCAGCATACAGTCAGCCGGGGAAGTCGAGTGTAGTGAACGGCCACAATTTCCATTTGCGTGTATAGTCTGTTTAGATGTTTTTCTATGTGACATACCTACATACATATATGCATGTTATATACTTCTAAAGGCGGTGGACTGCACGACTTTGAAGATGTTGATGTCTACGATGGTCAAGAGTGGCTACATAAAAATAATATTGCCGCACTTATGCTAAGATGACGACGCTGATGACAATGACATCTCTTGTTTCTTGTTGTTTTCACGCACAAAAATAATATTTGAGGTTCTCCCAAACATACATATATCACCACAGTATTTAGTAATCGCATTAATGAAAAGAAACCAATTATAAAACTATTAGTATTAATACCGTTTAGTCGTATATCGCATCGCATCATAGACGTGAGTTATATAGAGAACACATACGAAAATTCTTGAAAATGGAGAAGATATTATTCTGGCGTCTGTTCTCTTTTGCTTACTGGTGTGCTATGTTTGTTTGTATGGATGTTTTTTTTTTGTTGTTTGGTACTCTTTGCTGCATCGTGAATTTAAATTTGATTTACGTATTGTCTATGTATAATTCAATAAAAATATTTCCCCCCCACACACACAGACACACAGAAATATGCAGACATATAGCAGAAATTAATTAAACACCACCGATACTACAAATAAAAATACTAGAGGATAAACAAAAGTTATCGGCAGATTGGATGTTTAATGTAGAGGGTGGTGGGAATAAATTGAGCAGCCAAAACAACAAAACCACCCTCTGTGTATATCTACGCAAAGAACGTGAAAATTTCTATTGACTTTAGGAGTAACAATTTTTTGTTCTTTTTATTTTTAATAGGTATTTTGTATCGAACCAAAGACACAAGTGATACACGAAATGACCCAAATGTTCCTTTCCAATTCGATTGACCAATTTTTGTTTGAGCTAAAACTGGGCGGGCGTCTTTAAAGTGTCAGCCAATCTCACATTATTTCTATGTATGGCACATTCCACTGATTTTATGTTTGGCTGAGGTTAACCGCGAAACGTTGATACATTCTTTTTTATCTAAAAATCAAATGGTATTTTAAGTGAGACATTTATTACTTTGTAGAAATAAAAGAGAAGTCATTAGAAAATATACACTGTGTTTTATTTAAATACAATTATTATAGAAAAATACAAAAGACAAAGTACATAGTAGTAGTTGAATGTTATTGTCGTATATTATACTGTAAGGAAAAATAATGCTAGATCATGAGTAGTACGATTCGGCAATTTGTTTACAATCATTTTTTATAAAGGCAAATTTTTATTTGGTTATCATTTCAGTGGTTAACGAAATCATTGGAAGAATGATGTGAGCATTCAACTGACTTCGGGTAAAGCACAACAATTTTCTGAATGTATTTTATCGGCAGTATTAACATCAATCATGTTTGTGCGTTATTTTTTCTGTTTGTATTTATTTTTATATAGAAAATTGGGTTTCAATAAGTTACATTTTTATTTTACGAATATAGTTAAAGTTAAAATTACATGTATTAATTAATTATATTAAACGTTTTTCGTTGCGTACGATGAAATTAAAATAAAACAATATTGTACAAGATATAGTAAATAAGACACTTTACTTTAGGGGGTCTATCAATTCTAATAAATGCTGATAAAATGTGTAAATTCAATATTCAAAAGGCATTTAAGTAGTATCCATAGATACTGCAGTTATTCGAGTTACAATAATGGATGGATTTGTTAAAAAAATACATTTTGCGACAAAAGACCATGAGGTCTAATCTTCCAGAAATGGTATGTAGTTATATAATTATGTTGATGGACAAATGTTTGACCCAAAAATGTATTTTGTTCGTTTGTTATCCTACGCTATGTTTTGCTTAAATACCCCATTATTTAACCAGTGTAAATTGTTGCATATAATACTGGAGATGTTAAACATAGATTGTGCAAATTTTCAAATCTACTTTGAATAAATTCGTATTTTAAAGTACAAACAATGGAATCATCATCTGGCAATCACGGATGTTACGAATATAAAATGAAAATTGTTTTAAACTCCGGCAAAAACATATGCATTTACTTTTGGAAAATATGTAGTAGTAACGTCTTATCCGTAATTGGCAGATATACTGAAATGTTTTTTTTTTTTTATATTTTAAAGAAAAAAAAGTTATTGCAGAACAACGTTTCATTATTGTTCTCGCGGCAAGTAGTTTCGTCGTTTTGTGCAAAATTTTGTTATTTTTTGTTGTGCCTATACACAACCGTATTCATACCACACACTGTTATTTTTATCTTCGGAACGTTTACGTGCTACTTTATTATCCTGATCGTGTTGCCCATCTATATCACGGTTATTCGCATGAGTTCCGGATGGTGTATCACTGTTATTGCTTACATTTAGAGAATTTCCACCGACAATGTTGTTGATGCGATTGTACATTAGGAAAGTTGTTGGATTTTCCGATTTGCTAGAGCCACTTGGTGTCTGCGGTTCGGCATTGTTGTTTGTTGTAGCACTTAGTGTTGCTGTAGAGCTACTGTTGCTGCTGCAAGCACCGGATCCACGTAGTGTAGGTGACGTCGATTGATTGGACTCGGGAATTTTTTGGTTCTCATCGATCAGATACACTGTCCGCCTTGACCCTGCAGTCCCCAGTGTCAAACTGCTTCCCGTTACATCAGGCGCCTCCAAACTGTTTCGAAGCAGAATAAATGACACAAATTGTTAAATTGTTTATTTGTTCCGAGCACAAAGGCTATTAAGAAGAAAATATACGAAATGAGCGCTCAAGCGTATAAATGCATTCGGCTATCGTTAATTATTTGCAAATATTTTTTGGCAATATTTCGGTGTTTATTTAAAACGAATTACGTACGTTAGACACATTAACCCATTTCACTAGAACACTTTTAATATTATTAATGTGAAATTGGCTGATTAATTAAACATCAGGTTATGGTTTTTGGCAAACATAGACAATGAATGGCACTACTTTTCTATCTGTTGTTTGCTGCATTGGTGTCTCTTATTTGGCACCAAAGGGTTAAGCAACGATTACCACAGAAATTATTGGAAATTATGATAAAGGCCAAACACAAAAACATTTAAAATTTATTAGATAGTATGCAATTTCAGAATGCCACCCACGCGACATCGGTGGTACTGTTCTAATCTAATGACACAAAGCAAATAGTTTTCATGTGCACTTGTACATGTGAAATGTACAACCGAAAGAACGAAATGAATCAAAAAGATCAACTTCATGGTTCCATAGAACGTGGCATGGGCATATTATTCGTTTTTCTTTCTCTTCTAACAAATATTTTCAATTCGATGTTTTGAATCTTTGAACAAAGGACAAAGAGGTAATATGTTGCCATATGAATGTAAAATTCAATTTAGTATTTAAAAGTTGCGAGGAGTTCGGCTTTCAGTTTTGGTTATTAAAGCTTAAGAGCGACAATGAGTAAATGTTATTTTGCAAAACCATTGGCAATCGTTGAAGCAAAGGACTCAAGAACGGTATTTACCTATTCACATTATACATTTCCAGATCTTAAAAATAATTTTACTAAATAAACAATGATCAGAAATTGTAAAATGCATTAATCAATAAATTGAAATTCACGCCAACGGAGGTCTTAAAGCAACCAAAGTCAGGATTCTCGTCACCGTGACTTTGCATTGCATTTTATGATCTCGTTGTTTGAATAGATAATATTAATTCGAGACATTTGAATAGACTTAATCTAATATTAATAGACATCAAAAGACACATTACCCGTGCACGCTATTTCTACGTGAATTATTCAAGTCCGTACGTTTCTGTGTTTGCAAGCTGCTCCTCATTGTGCCACCACGTGAAATTGAATTGTCCAGCATATCACTAGATGGAATAGAAATTATTAGTGGCTATTATGCAATTGAATATGCAGGAAGGATTTGTTTTGATTGAGGCCTTAAACATACCGTTGTAAACTCTGTCTAATTGGTATGTTGCGTTGGAATAGATGGGTGTCTGAGTTGATTGAGATGGGTTCTTCGGCACTATTGTCAGAATCGTTACCACCCGATTCGGATCCAATCATGAACTGGGATTGTGTTAGGCGTGAATCATCAATCCAAGAACGGCGATTCTGTTTCCGAAAATAAGTACATGTTTATAAATATAACAATGAATATCGAGGATTTTCCAATACATACCCTACTCGGAACTTTGTTCATTAAATCTGAACTAGCCTTTTTAACTCTTCTAACCAAATTACTACCGAATGGTTTCCTGCAAATAAACAAAAAAAAAAAAAAAAAAAAAAAAAAACAACATTATTTCGATATGATACAGCAGATACTCGACTCGGCTTTAGTAATAAATTATTGTCGTGGATAGCATCCTATTTAATAGATAGGACACAATTAGTTTTATTTGAGGGTTCTTTATCTAGCTCTTGTAAAATACAATCGGGTGTTCCTCAAAGAAGTCATCTTGGACCGGTCCTTGGATCTACTCTTTTATCAACTGTATATAATATTAACGGGAACATTTTAACGCCCGTGGGATCCTTTGTTGATCTTGGCCTCCTAATGGACCCTAAATTATCTGTTAATTATCATATTATATCGATGGTTAATAAAGCTAATGGTGTTTTAGGATTCATAAAACGGTGGGTTAAAAAATCTCTGAACCCTATGTTACTTACTTGTTCGGCCTACACTAAAATATGATTCTGTCGTATGGAATCCTGATATGCCATCTATTTCGATAAAATCGAATCGGTGCAAAAACAATTTCTGCTTTTTGCGCTGACAGATTTTCATTGGAACAGTGGTTTGCATTACCACCCTATACTAACAGACTAAAATTAATTCGATTACCTACATTAAAAATAGACGTATTATGTTCAATACCATAATGGCGTATCAAATCTTAAATGGTAACGTGCCTTCGGACTCTCTTATTTCTTCTTTCAGAATTAATATCCCATTTACATTAAGCAGGTATTATCAGTTTTTAAATATTGATTTTCACTGAACTAATTTCTCTATGGGCGAACCTATAAGTAGAATGTGTTTAGACTTCAATTCTTTGTATGATATCGTAGATTTTGGTACTTGTATTGACATAATAAAATCTAGAATAATTATGTATTTAAATGAGTAGATATTATAAAAGATTTTTTTCACCGGTTGATAAAATATATTTTCTGTAGCTGGTATTTCAATGCCTACTACTTTTCCAACATGTTACGGATCATGGTGAGTACGCGATCCCTACGTAATAGGGAGGTCGCCCCCCACGGCCGGTTGGGGTGAGAAAGAGTGGCGTTGGGAACGTTCGTAAAAGATGTTTTTTCTTCATTTTCAAGATTCTATCCTAGATTAACAAATTACATAGACAAGACCTCTGGGACGACTTACTTTTTGGGAGCCACCGCCTCCGACTTCTTAAAAAGTTCCATAATTTTTTCTTCTAATTTTTCTTTTTGACGATTCAAATTATGCACACATTCGGTGTAACTTTTTTCTTCTTCGTGGAAATGTTTTTTGTCTTCAAGACTTAGGTTCAATAGTTCATGATATTGTTTAAGTAAATGCGAAACATTTTCCATCAACGTTTTACGTTCAGTATCCAAATCAGCATTTTGAGTCATCAGCATCTGAAAAGTTCAACGTTATGTTATACGACGATGTAATCCATACTACGATTGCTTTTATTATTCCGGTTATTTCACCATTCTTACCTCACAACGCTGGGCAGATTTAGCATATTGTATTTCCAAAATTTTCATTTGATCATTCTTACTCCCCAGTTCTGTAGTCAGATCATTATTTTGCAATTTCAGTTTGCTGTTTTCCATTCGAATCATCTTGTATTGTTCTTGGATGTTTTTGTATTCGTTCTTAAAACGATCGCTAGTTGCAAACAAATTTCGAAAGTCGTCCGTAAGTTTTGAGTGTTCTGTGCGTAGAATGGCAAGGTCTTCGGCGCAAGATTTCAGAGATTGATTTTGTTGCTTCAAATCATCAATTTGTGTCTCCAGACTAACGATGTGTTCACGCAAGTCCCTTGATTCGTTGCGCAAATCACGAACAACCCCTTTAAGCTGTTCTTTACCCTTATTGAGGGATTCATATTCGGCTGACAGTTGATCGTGCAAGCATTGCAATGTCACCTGATCGTGGACGAGATTTTTGTGTTCTTGCTTTAGAGCTTCGTTTTCTTTTAATAGCACATCTTTGTCGGCTGCCAATTGTGAATTGGCCAATTGTAGAGCAACATGTTGAGTATTTAACGAAGTGATCTGCGAACCTAAAGTGGCAACATCAACTTTAAAACGGGCGTTTTCTGCCTGGAGCTGGTCATTTGTTGACTGCAGGGCCACGTTAAGGGCACTTAACTGAGTGTTGGCTTCTGAAAGTTTTGCGACTTCGGCTATTTCTTTGGCGTCTGGTACGGAAGACAATTCTATGTTTCTTTCAACGGTAAATACTTCCTTGCGATGACACAAGACGCAAATGTCCGATTTCGATGATTGCTCTTTTGAAACGTTGAGCATAATTTCACGAACGGTCTTGAATGTTTCCGGATTACGGACAAGTTTCTCCACAACAGTCTCAACATTTAATTCTGTTTTGTCGTCAGTAGGGTTAACATTCAATCCAAGTTTTTCCAAATTATGTCTAACTTTGTTTGTGGCTAGAGTTCCAGTCACAAGGTCACTTCGTAAAGTTTCAATAGTTTGCATGTCGATTTCATGTTGAGAGCTCAATTCCTGATTTTGAACTTCGATTTCGTTGAAACGAGATTTTATAAATTCTGCTTCTTCCAAAGCTTTTGACAACCTTGCCAATTCCTTGGATTGTGTTTCCGCTAATTCAAGCGATTGATCCAGTTTTACAGATTTCTCTTCAAGATTTTCCTTTAGTTTGCAAACTTCCTTTGAGAGGCTCGCATTCTCGCGTTCGAATGTACCAAGTTTAGCTTGGAGTTCATACAGATTTTCCTTCGTTTTCTCCAACGTTTCTAACTTTTCGGAGTACTGTTCGATTTCTTTTGCACGCGAATCAGCCATTCTTTCCAGGTCATCGGCACGACGTTGGACGCTCTCATTCAATGTTTGAATACGTTGTTTTTCCTTATTCAATGTCTCTACGTATTTCTCTAAATCAATTATCTTACTTCGTTCTACATCACGCTCTTGACTCTGCTTCTCGTATGCTTTTTGCCTCTGGTCCAACGTCATTTGCATTTTCTTATTTTCCTCTAAGGCATCTTTGAATACGTTTTCTAGTTCATTATTTTGCTGAGATAGCCTTTGAATGTTTTCCTGCATTTGTTCTACCTTCAAGGCAAGTTTTTTCTTCTCTTTTTCCAGTTCCAATAATTTATTTGTTGACTCATGGAAGGAAGTCTCTTTAAGCTGTTCTAGGGCAGCGACCAAACGTCTATTTTCCAATTCAAGTTTTATAGCACGAGTCTGCAAGTAGTAAATATAAATAATAATTAAATATCTTAATTAGGAGCATAACTGCCAAATCATTTTTCACAAGACAATTTTAAACATCTAATCAAAATGGGCTAAACATTGCATTTTGTTGTTTTTTGATTTTTTTTATATACGCAAAGAGTGGGATTTAAACTCAAAAAATTCAAAATTCTTTATACACATTGTGGCTTGTAACTTACCTGTGCATTATTTGTTAGTTGTTCAGATAAACTATTATCACCCGAGTTGCACTCGTCATCGTTGTCTGAAAATGACTTATCTATGTCCAAGGTAGTGTTCAAATTTTTGGCTACCAACTGCAGTTGTGTGTTTTCTTCAATTAATTCCTCCAATCTGGAACGATCTGAATCTCTTTCAAGAGCCATATCGTTCAGTTTTTGTTTATACTTGATTATTTCGGACTCGAGAGTCATTACGTGTTCAGATCGTTTTCGCCATCTTTGTAGTTGTTCTTCCAGCATTTCCCTACATAAAATATTAATGGATAAACCAAAAGGTTCCTTAATTAAAATTTTGTATTTACTTAGTTTCCAGTAGCATTCGGTTGTCCTCGCGAAGTTCTTCAACACGAGTTTTATAAAATTCTGAATCGGTTAATTTTTCTTTGAACTTTTGAAGTTCTATTTCCAATCGGTCCGCTCTTTCATTTCGCTCCCTTAAAACATCAACCTCGTCCCTGTAGGCAGCTGACCTCTTGGCTTCATTGTACCATTCTTGGCTCTAAAAAGATATTATTTTGACTCTCGAAACGTCGTAATTTAAAACACTTACCTCAAGACGCAACTTTTCATATTGGCTATTTTTATGATCTAACTCTTCCCGCAATTCCAATAAACTTTCCGATTTTTCCTCCCTGTTTGACATTTACAAATTAAATTAAATGAGGAAGCGATGCTACAGAACAATTGTAATACATACAACTCTTGTCGTAATTTCCTCATCTTCGATTTGAGATCAGCCAACTCAACTGCCATGTGATTGTTGTCGGTATTGGACGCGGATGATATGGGCGTTGATGTTTTGCTATTAGATGGTGACATTGTCAAATTTAACGCATTGTCATCACAATCTGATGCATTAACATCACGTTCGGCACAAACTGATGATACCCACTTTAAGTACATATTGTCACGTTCCTTCGTTAGTCGTAAGATATGATTGTACATATCCTGTGGCGTCAACAAACCCAAAGATTCTTCTGTTAACACCAAGCTATGGTTATCGGTCACCTGTAAGGATCAACGAGACAATCGTTTGCTTCAATGAAGTAATGGCTACAAATCCACTCACCTGTTTTATTAATTCAACAATTGCATGTTGAGTTTCCAGGTCCAATTCCTTGATGCGCGCTATAAAGAGCTCTTTGTTTGGACACTGAACGGCTGCTCCCAAAAGTAGAGTTAGTAAAATTTTCATTTGCTCCAAACCTTGCTTTGTTTCTGGATCATGGCCCAGAGCATAACAATCGGGTAGTACCAATATCGTTTGTCCCAATTCTTCCTCAAACAAAGATTTAAGGTTTCGTACAATGCATTCAAAATTTTTAGCTCGGGCATTGCAAAGTGATATCCCTTCCAAATCATTAATGTTTGCAGGGATGTGTTGAGGCTCTGGATCTATTTGTAACCAAACCTTATGGATTATTTGACCATCCAGAAGTGAGGGATAGCCTGTTAGAATTTCGGGACGTGGGAGACATGATTCCAACTAAAATATAAAGAATATACAAATAAATTAAAAAAATATTTGAACTCAATTTCCTTTTCTTTTTAATTTGGCTTGAAGTCATCAAATTTAAAATAGTTAATTTTGTTTCACCATTTTATTTCTAATATTTCGATCGACATCGACGATCATCATTACGAATTAGTATGTACATGTTTATGTACATGTTTAGGAATTGAACTTTAAAGAACAAATAGCATGCATTTTAGTATTTTATAAAGAGTAAGCAAATATCAATTACAAATTACAATTTGTTCATAACAATGTTACTTCCACATCACTTTACAGAGATTTTTAGAATAAACTTTTTGGCATATTTCTACAGTGTTTCTATTAATTTGCGCACAGTGTTCTGTGTCTGATTTATATATATTTTATTATATTTTCGACGGGGACATTAATTATATGAAGAATTTCTAACATTTATCTTCGCTGGTAATTGTTCTCTAGTGTTAATTGTCAACATTTTTGAAGTTATGAATTGCACAGTGTGATTAAGTGGTCATAAATCTGATCAATGATCTGTAATAGAAAAAAAAACACTTGCCGCACACTGTGTAGCAACCGGATATACTCCTTATTTTAAAAAAGCTGACATATTACCATGAGTTATCTCCCGGGATTTCACTTCTTTACGACAAACTTGCCATAGGTGAATAGGGGCATACTTTCTCAGGCCTGTCCAAGGCACTATGATACAATTATTACATTGAAGCAGCGAAACCTAGATGATTCGGCTCTACAGTAATACTAGTGTCAAATTCGATTTGGCACGAAGTTTTTTCTTTTTATTTTGCAGCGGAAAATATACCAGTTTCATCTTTTACACATTTCCCGACATTAATCCTCGTCAAAATTGAAATATTTTTTAAAATTTTAAATTAAAGTTTTATTGTAATATATATTTTTTCAAATTTAATATAATTTGGCACCATCTCAAATGTTTCAAACATTCATATATTCAAAATTAGACGTGCTCACCCAAAACCTAATTTTTAGAGTTCCAACGCTATCCGTTATACAATACTAATGTTACCCAATATAGTATCCATTAATAATTTTTTTGTTCAATTTACGTTAGTTTTTTTGAAAACCAACTACTTATCTCGAATCTACCTTCTTATAAGGATTTCAAACTACCTCCACATTGTTCTCTTACGGAAAGCCGGTGGATAACTCAAGCCAATAATAATAATAATAATTTATTTAATATCAAATTTCAGAACATCAGTAAGATCAAAAGTGGTACTTTAGGAGCAATTTACAAAGGCAACTGCTTATCAAACACATAACTGCAACTAACGTGCATTTTCAGTACCAAAAGCAATTGAAATTCTTTGAAATACACAGTTGTACCAATGTCGAAGTATTACAAGAAAATTAATATTTTTGTACTGGTATTTTTTAATCCGCTAGAAAGTCGGAAATGGACCCATTATGGGCAATAAGAATTCTATATCAAATTATACTCTACTCTTTGCCTTGCTAGAATGATGTCAAATGTCTCAATATCTCTTTCAGTTCCTAAGATATTATTCAAAGAAATCATGAAATTGAAATTTTCTCCTCTTGTATGTATCCAACATAGGGTACGCGATCCATAGTTTTTCGAAGTTTAATAGTATTTATAAGGAGACCGGCTGGGAATTGTGCTTTTTTATTTGTGTTCGTCCAACACCGGCTATGAGATCCATAGTTTTTCTAAACATAATAGCTTTTATAAGTATAGCTTTCGGATAGGGACTTGATATTTTCTCCTCTATTGTGTGTTCGACACTGGCTACGCGATCCATAGCTTTTCTAAATGTAATAGCTTTTATAAGGAGCCGACGTTTGACCTTGGATTTCAAGAAAAGTATGACCAAAATATGTATTAAATTGTCATGTCGACGATGGAAAGAATAATAATTCATATGTAAAGAAGGTGTCGATAACTTGAATTATTATGCTTGTTGTGTATGCATATGTTTGCCAAGTTTGTAGTAAACACAAGGTATTACAACCTCAACATAGACGGTACAAAATTCTTTTATATCGTTTGTTTACATTTTCGTTCAAATTATGCCCTTGTAATAGAAAAAAATTTATTCGCATCATTCTCCTCAAGTAAATGGGACCTTCTTTATGAGTTTTGATGGTATTTCGCTTAGAATTTTCATTTTGGAAATAACACACACGTAAATCTGAATTACAACTACTTGTAATTTAGAGAAAGATCATATACCTATTCTGAAATTAGTAGTTTGTGTTGTTTTTACTTAAACCATATTATTCACTGTAATGTATAGATAATTCAATACTTTGATAGAAATGAGTTTTTGTCGGAATGGAATAAAATTTAATCAAAAACTCCACCACGAAATTTCGTTTGAATAGAATTTCTTATTGGCGTCTGGTCTAACTTTTTTAATGCCCAGACAGACTTCTCAACTTTAATTCGCAAATTATTCAACCTACCATTCAAACCATTCAACCATTCAAATAGAAAACAATAACATTTAATGCCAGCATGATGGATCTAATATTGTTTTGTATGGTTCTAATTTTTAAAACTACACTTGAAAACAACCCTTATGCATATTTACCTAATAAGAACTATTATTTTATATATGGATGTACATAGATTACACACACAACGAACACGTATAGGAAAGAAAATCTTAGTTTTCACAGCGAGTCAGCATATATAACTAGTTTTCGTTCAAAGTTTGCTTTAAAGATGGGCATTAACCTATCAACACTCCTGGCACTCCACCAACTATAGGAGGAACTGTGTACTTCAAAACATACTTACCCAAGAGACAAGTGCACCATTTATAAATTCATCTATTTCATTAGCAGCAGCACCACCGACACCTGCCATTGCTCGCCTTTTCTTATACACAAATCAATGTGAAGGTTTATTCACCAAGCAAACCGAATTGAAGAAACTATCTTTGCACCAAATGACGACAACCACATAAACAATGATGTGAATTTTTTCTCCAATTCAAAGGAGACACATGAAACTAGTTACACATATAAATATGTTTGCCAAATGGAAGACGTTTTGCGTACCTTAAAAGTACTCTAGTTTAGGCACACATTTCCACCACATTTCGCAGGAACTTTTTTTTCGTAATTATCTATACACAAATAACGATAAATGTTATCTATTTCTTTACAATTTCCACCTTATAGTTGTTTATGCTTAGTTTCGTTAGTGTGCGTATAATTTTTCATTATTTTTTATTTTGCAGTTGAGATACAGGGATATGTAGATCGACTTTAAAGCAACTGACATTTAGTTATCGTATGTGTTGAATTTTCGATAGCTGTTACCATGGTGCAACAACAAGGTGTTCCTGCAAATTTAAAAAAAATGATGAAATGTCCTAATTTCACTGTCTTTACACGGTGCAATTTTTAGCTGGCATTTTTATCAATTCTCTTTTAAAATTTCTGCGTAAATCTTCGCGCCTTTACACGGTGGCATTTTACGATAATAGTGCTTGGCATTTTTTCAGACATTTTATTTTATTCAGCATTTCGTATAGAGCTAATTGTATGTAAAGAAGTGATTTAAAATTAAATGTGTGAATCTAAAGAAGAAATGGTGGAAAAAGTTATTGAGGTGTTAAATATTGCATTATTAACTTATTTTAACTTTCTTTTTTTACTTTTTAATACTTCCAATTAATTTTCATATAATTAACTATACAATTCAATCACTAAAAACATCACATCACAATAAAAGAAACGCATCAAAAATTTCAATAAAGAAACGATATGAAATGTCATAATCAAAAAAAAAATCGGAAGAACACTGCCTTTACACGGTGCAATTTTTAGCTGGCATTTTTATCAATTCTCTTTTAAAATTTCTGCGTAAATCTTCGCGCCTTTACACGGTGGCATTTTACGATAATAGTGCTTGGCATTTTTTCTGACATTTTATTTTATTCAGTATTTCGTAGAAGAAGTGATTAAAATTAAATGTGTGAATCTAAAGAAGAAATGATGGAAAAAGTTATTGAGGTGTTAAATATTGCATTATTAACTTTTATTCTAACTTTCTTTTTTTACTTTTTAATACTTCCAATTAATTTTCATATAATTCATTATGCAATTCAATCACTAAAAACATCACATCACAATAAAAGAAACGCATCAAAAATTACAATAAAGAAACGATATGAAATGTCAAAATCATAAAAAATTCGGAAGAAGCAAAAAGAGAAATGCAAAGAAAATGGCATGTAACCCTGTGCGGTGGCTCATCGTGCCATTTTTTCTTCTATCCTTGTCTCTCTACAACTTTTACCAACAAAAAAAAATGGCATGGTTAAAAAATGTCACCGTGTAAAGGCAGTGGAAGCAAAAAGAGAAATGCAAAGAAAATGGCATGTAACCCTGTGCGGTGGCTCATCGTGCCATTTTTTCTTCTATCCTTGTCTCTCTACACCTTTGACCAACAAAAAAAAATGGCATGGTTAAAAAATGTCACCGTGTAAAGGCAGTGTTTGTTTACACTTTTGGTCTCTTCCATGGTAGAAGAATACAGGTAGTCGACACAGCTGCTGGGACAATGAACTGTCAAACCGAAAATTTTGAATTAAAAATTATTAAAATTTGTAAAAATTGTTGAGAAATACATATTGTAACAACCTCCGATTTGCATCGTATAAGAAAATATATAAAAATCTACTTAATTTTGACACAACAATTTTAAAATTTTGACATATCAATGTTCACAAGCGTTGATGCATCTACCTATATTCTTCTACCATGGTCTCTTCCATAACTACAAGCATGTAACATTTTTTACAACGATAATCAATTTCCCTTTATGATAGTAGATTTTTGCAGGTTCTGGAACAGAGCATTTGTTGGCTATTTGTTAATCATTTGTTCTGTGATTTCAATCACAATAATGCATTACAATTGGCAGTCAGCAGGCTTGATAGGTGGACCTAATACTTGGACCATGGTTGTTACCATAGCCCAACTATAGCAACATGGCTGGACTCCATTTACTGCGGCTAATCATCTTGTCATGAAATCATGGTACAATAACAGGCTATATTCTAAGTAATTCCTTTCTATTGATATCAAATAATTTTTTCTATAGTCTGTCAAAATACATATACATATTGTTTTGTTATAACAGTTTAATATTTAAATTCAATGTTTAATATTTAAATTTAATTTTCAATATTTTCTGTTTTTATTTTTCAAAAAAGAAAATAAATACACCCACAAAATTGGCAGAAGCCGGGCACACTCAGAAAAAATTGTAATCAGCTAGCACATTTTCCATACATTTTTATTGTATCCTGGTTGTGATTGTCGAGTTGTATTTGTAGTAGTAGTGCATTGTAAAACGAATGCAAGATGGGGCACAGTATGGCAGAAGAATAGATGTAGTCGCATCGACTTAGCTGCTGGAACAATAAACTGTCAATCTACTTTTAGAATTGAAATTTCTGAATCAATTTTTTTTTGGAAACGCATATTATAATAACCTCAGATTGAAGTCGTATACGAAAAGATATAAAAATCTATTAAATATTCATAAAATATTTAATTTTAACGCTTTCATAGAATTTCCCTGAATGTACAGTTGTTAGTTGTAGGTCCAAATCCCTCAACACTTCAAGCAATCGCTAGAAAATCGTGGAAATTGAAAACAAATGTACATAAAGTATTCTACATTTTACATGAAACATATCACAATATTTCCTAATGTGGTGCTGCTATTCTTTTACTGCGAAAAAAAAGTTTCCGCAATATCGCTGTTGCTCTAAAGTAAAAGTAAAGTATAACAGCGTTTTTTCTATTACTGGGTAAAAATGTTCAAATTGAAACTGGTGTCTGCTGCTACCTGTAATAATTATACCATGTTGCATAGCAATCACCTGAATACAATTTTTTTTTTGTAATTTCATTACAGTTAGTCTGTTCCAGAACTGCCGTTACCGATGCCTTAGTCCTCCATCGGGAAGACGCAATCGACATAGGAGCTGGCAGTAACGCTGCCAGCAACCTTACTACACATGAAGGAATCGATCCGAAAGAGGCAAAAGCAAAGTGGGGTTACAAATGGTCATAAAAAAACCTGTAAAAAGTTTATGGACCGGGACCCCGCACAGATTACGGAGAAAGAGAGAATCCTGATTAAGATGAACCTCAAGGAAGTTAGAAAATTCGAAAAGAAAAGAAAACTACCGAGCTGTTTTCTTGATCAGGTTGCTCTCATTCCCCTACCAACTGTTATCAACGAAAGGGAGGACCCACCCGTGAATTATCACTCCGTTGCGGACTCTGTGACCACCACAGAAGTGACAGTGAAGCAATCAAGGACTACTCCGGAAGTCGGATGCTGACCCCGCGGAGTCTAATCCTCCCACCAAGAAGCGGAACTTGGTTTTTATTCGGTTCCGACTAGCAAAGCATCATGCAGATTAAACTGCAAAGCAGCTGCTGTCCTATCCCTCATGACAGTTGACAGATTGGAGACTAACCCTCCGGGATCCTCATCTCTCTACCTGCCGTATGAGGTGACCCGACCCCCGGCCACGAGGTAGAGAAGCTGCTCACGGAGCTAGGTCGCAAAGGGCATCTTATCATCGGTTGTGATGCCAACGTTCACCACTTTCAATGGGGCAGCAAAGATACTAACGCCATATATAGACTTCACCGCTTCGACAATTTAGTCTTAACGTCAACCCTAGATGTAGACAATTCTGTAAATGCGATAACGAACACCACCCAGACAAGAAATGTCAACCAGTTTGGTGGTGAAAACAGTGGGGTCTAAAATGTATAAGTCGAGGTGTTGCAAACGAAATGATAAAATTAATATACCCTACATACCATGGGAGAGGGTATACAATGGAATTAAATACAAAACATTTGACATTATTAATACTGTAGAGTCAAATCAGCTGGCCTTTGATCCTACCATGTGATAATTATGCCATTATCAATTGACAATTTTTGAAAAACTTGTATGTCAGATGTTTGCATGAAATTTTCTTATATAACTTAAGCATGTTTGAGATATTGTGCGGCTGCATTTTAGTGACAAAATTCGATATTTTGCGGTCCTGGTCTGTCAGAAATTGTGGCTTATATGACATACTTTTTCAACATATAAGTTGTGTTCCAGTACTTTTTTAGTAGTAAAACTAGCAGAAGAGAGAACAGTTCGAAATGTCATTCTCAATTAGGTGTGCTCAAAAAATAAGCGAACGGAAAATTAGCAGAAATGCGATAAAATGTCAAAATTCAAAATTCCAAGAGTAAACAGTCCAAATCGGACTGGTGAAACCTTACTGAAACGGACGCCAAAATTTAAAAAAATTAGTATTGAAGACGATACGTTAAAATTAATAATCTATAATAATAATTAATAATCTGATTCATCATTCAGCCAGACCTTTTCACTACTGGAATCATCCAAAAGTGCTCCATATTTTCCTTTTTTTTTTGCACTACAAATATTAGTTTTTCCTTTAGTTTTTAAGTTGATCATTTCTTTATTATGACGCGGGAACATTGAAATGTATCAATACATTTTTCAACCTTGTTAGCCCTGTCAATTAAATGTCAAATTCACAATTTGCACATTTCTGCTCGGTCAAATTCATGTAGCTAAAACAAGCAGAAATGTGCACCACTCAGCGCCATTTTTTCCTCGAGAGAGCTGCAAGTTTTGCTAGTTTTTAGAGTACGGGAACGCGTTGTAGCAGAATTAGTACTAATTAGTACTAATTTGTAGGTTCTGGAACACAACTATAATAACATACACAAATATTCAACCTCCCCAGAAATTCTTTTGTACGTAATAGTAGATTCTTGCAGTTTCTGGAACAGAGCAATAAATACATGTGTCTAAATTGTATGGTGAAAAACATCGACCGAGTGAGTCGAATTTTAGGTAACGCTGTAGAAGGTTGAATCAAAACTACAACAAATATAATTTAAAAGCAACCACAAAGAATTGCAGGAATGTAATAATTTTAATAATTTCCAGAACCAGGGCCTCAATTCTTGTTTTATGAAAATGTGAAATGAAAACTTTTATAGAGGAAAGAAATGTCAAATGAGAAATATTATAAAGGAAATATTTTTCATTTCATATTTTCATAGAACAAGAATCCAGCCCCAGTACTAGTTTTGTTTTTTTTTTTCGATATAATAATGGAAAAATCGGATATTGTACTAAAAATTATTACATTCTTAAAGTTCTGGAACAGCCGGTGTGCTTACTCCGGAATCTTTTGGTC